ATGTGGTATTTCTACCGCTATGTCTATCTATTCAATGTCTTATCTCTCCCGCTATCTCTATCTATTCCATGTTATCTCTCCCGCCATCTCTATCTATTCCATGTGTTATCTCTCCCGCTATCTCTATCTATTCCATGTTATCTCTCCCGCTATCTCTATCTATTCCATGCGTTATCTCTCCCGCTATCTCTATCTATTCCATGCTATCTCTCCCGCTATCTCTATATATTCCATGTGTTATCTCTACCACTATCTCCATCTATTCCATGTTATCTCTGCCGCTATCTCTATCTATTCCATGTGTTATCTCTCTCAATATCTCTATATATTCCATGTGTTATCTCTCCCGCTATCTCTAGCTATTCCATGTGCTATCTCTGCCGCTATCTCTATCTATTTCATGTGTTATCTCTCCCGCTATCTCTATCTATTCCATGTTATCTCTCCCGCTATCTCTATATATTCCATGTGTTATCTCTCCCGCTATCTCTAGCTATTCCATGTGCTATCTCTGCCGCTATCTCTATCTATTTCATGTGTTATCTCTCCCGCTATCTCTATCTATTCCATGTTATCTCTCCCGCTATCTCCATCTATTCCATACGTTATCTCTCCCACTATCTCCATCTATCCCATGTGATCTCTCCCGCTATCTCCATCTATTCCATGTGTTATCTCTCCCGCTATCTCTATCTATTCCATGTGTTATCTCTCTTGCTATCTCTATCTATTCCATGCGTTATCTCTCCCGCTATCTCCATGTATTTCATGCGTTATCTCTCCCTATATCTCCATCTATTTCATGTGTTATCTCTCCCGCTATCTCTATCTATGCCATGTGTTATCTCTCTTGCTATCTCTATCTAGTCCATGTTTTATCTCTTCCGCTATCTCTATCTATTCCATGTATTATCTCTCTTGCTATCTCCATCTATTCCATGTGTTATTTCTCCTGCTATCTCTATCTATTCCATGTCTTATCTCTCCCGCTATCTCTATCTGTTCCATGTATTATCTATCTTGCTATCTTTATCTATTCCATGTGTTATCTCTCCTGCTATCTCTATCTATTCCATGTGCTATCTCTGCCGCTATCTCTATCTATTCCATGTGTTATCTCTTCTGCTATCTCTATCTATTCCATGTTATCTCTCCCGCTATCTCCATCTATTCCATACGTTATCTCTCCCACTATCTCCATCTAGCCCATGTGATCCCTCCCGCTATCTCCATCTATTCCATGTGTTATCTCTCCCACTATCTCTATCTATTCCATGTGTTATCTCTCTTGCTATCTCTATCTATTCCATGCGTTATCTCTCCCTCTATCTCCATGTATTCCATGCGTTATCTCTCCCTCTATCATCTATTCCATGTGTAATCTCTCCCACTATCTCTATCTATGCCATGTGTTATCTCTCTTGTTATCTCTATCTATTCCATGTGTTATCTCTCCCGCTATCTCTATCTATTCCATGTATTATCTCTCTTGCTATCTCTATCTATTCCATGTCTTATCTCTCCCACTATATTGTAACGGACCGTTTTACACATAAGAGGTTAAAAACCGTCTAGGCGATATTCCCCTTTCCAGATGCACCGACAGCTACTGTAAGCACCCATCTCCCGAACTGCAAACTGCATGAATTCACAAACTCCCGAACAGGAAACCCACACTCAGCTTACACTCCTGGCAATCGGCATACAATCCAATTCCCCCAATAACGAGACGACTCTTAGTTTTGAGGGTCAAGCAGAATCTCGTTTACTGGGGCTAACTACCCGGCTTTTATGCAGGTCTCCCACTTCCCTAGGGAACCAGATGGGAGACTGGGACACAAAGGGTAAAAGGACCAATCACAGACTTACACATTTCAACAATCCCACAATGCATCACAATCCCTCCTCTCTGGCCTGGAGATAATTGGGAAGTAATCCAATTATCTCCAAGGACAGAGGCAAAACTCCATTACACACATTTTAGTAAAAAGGCATAAAATTACACACGATTACCTCTATCACACAAAACACACACATTCGGGGGCGTGGCCTGATCGGGTATGGAGTAGGACGCATCCTGAACCTGCTCCGCGGCCCCAGCTCACACTAGCACCCATCAACGAGCGCTATCCGACCCGAGATGGGAAAATCCCGGAGACCCCACACGCCGGGACCCTCACAAGCCGGCTCGCCGGGCCGCACCTCGGGCCCCATGGACGGCTATGTATGCACGCCGCGAGACATGCGGTCCGCGCCGGCCGCATCCAAAATGGCGCCGGCCTCCCCAGGGGACAGCAGCAGTGACAGCCTGACGCAGGGCTCACCCAGGGGAGACACTCTTGCGCATATTTCATCCGAGCTGGCCAAGATCACTGCCAATATGCTGTCCAGAGCTGACAAAGCTGAGATGCTGGCAGAAATCAGGACTGCAATCAGGGAGGAAGTCATGGAGGTGAGGAAAGACCTGACAGCCCTTGAACAAAGGGTAGAGGCCCTTGAAGCAGACAGAGCCCAGACTGTGCAGCACCAACAGGCCACAGACACTGCCACCACCAGACAGGGCAATGTCCTACTAGATCTCAGGAGACAACTAGAAGACCTGGACAATCGCGGAAGGAGGAACAATATCCGCATAAGGGGCCTACCCGAAAACGCGGACGAAACGCTGCCAGAGCTCCTGACAGACCTGTTTACCCATATTCTGGGTGACAGAGCCCCAGAAGACTACGGTATCGAAAGAGCCCATAGAGCGCTGAGACCCTTGTCCCCTGAGGGACCGCCGAGAGACGTAATCTGCTGCTTGCTCTCTTACGCCTTAAAAGATGGCATCATGAGAGCGGCGCGCAATCAACAGAACATCGCCTTTAGAGACGGGCAGGTCTCGCTTTACCAGGATCTCTCCGCGCTCACGCTAGAGGCCAGGAGGGCGCTACGTCCAGTAACCGCCATTCTCCGGGAGCGGAGGATCCCGTACAAATGGGGCTTCCCCTTCAGCCTGCAGGCGAGGGTGGGCCAAACCTGGCATATCATCCGCTGGCCAGCTGATGTTCCACGCTTCCTACGAGCCACGAGTCTACCCGCGGTGACGATATCCAACTGGGTCCTGGAGCGACAACCACAGCATCCACGGGCGGTAAGCGACAGGCCGGGCACGGGCCTCACAGGCAGCGGGTTCCGGCGGGGTGGCCCAGACAGCCATGAAGAATAACTGTCCCCTATGAACCTGTTCCCCTACCTCCCATTCTGCTAACCTGACCGTCAACCTGCCACCCCACCAACGGCCCCCCAGCCACTACGAGAGAAGGCCACAAGACAGCTCAGAAGGCCTAGACACGACCACCGGAAGCTCCTGTGGGTGTCGGGCACCACGAGACGACATTGCCCCCCACGCACCTGGTCGAACCACAGCACTACTTGGTATGTACTTGACTCCCTGACCTAAGCCCGCAACATGGGGTCCAGATCCTCATTAGCAGGGGGTGGCCTAACCTGAGCCTCACAACCAGGGGTGGGGACCCCCAGGAGATAGACTTTGCATGGACATGCCACGCTGGGACTCTCCTAGTGGCCAAGGCCCGGGAACACCAGCTACCTTTGGGTGGAGGGGGTGCGGGGATGGAAGCTGGGAGGCTGCCACCATACCAGGGTTATACCCACCGCTGTAAGGGTGATCTCCCCAAGCTCTAGCCTGAAGGGCACGACCGATAGCATAGATCCCAGCACCTTCTGGACAGCCGAGGGCCTCTCAGGCATGTAATGGGGCCACCAAGGGGGGGGTGTGGGGAGCTCCCTTTGGGGGGGGGGGAAGAATGGGGGGCCTTGCTCCACAACTGTTTATTATGATTGTTATATTGGTTTATGGTTTTTATTGTTTGTAAACAATTGCGCGGACGCGGTACAATACGGGTAGCAACAGTTACAGAATGACGTGAAACTTGGGGCCCGAGTTAGAGTCAGACACATACACAGGCCATACATAGGCCGAGACAGGGAGGGGCAACGAAGGTGGGTGGGGTTTCCGGGACGGGAACATACTCGGAGAGATCTACAACCCAACACAATAGGTGAGCTGGGAGCCAAGGGAAAGGCTCGACACAACACTATCGAACGACCCACACTAGAGGGACCGCATACCCCAAGCAACGGACTCACGTTGTATATACACTCGGAGGCCACCGAGGTGACTCACCCCCAGGGGAACAGACACCAGAAGGCGACAAAAACCGAGGCGAGTCACAGTTGCCTCTCTCTTGGACAGACTATCACCCTCCCCAGACACCGGACAGACCTTACCCCTATACCCATCAACCACTGACGCACACATACCCACACACACCTCACAACAAACACTGATAGAGATGGGCTCTAACTACAAGCCGACACCACTGACCCTATGGTCTAACAATGTAAGAGGCTTAAACATTCCCGAAAAATGGTCCCAACTACTTCGCACACTGTGGGCAGAGCGCGCCTCAGTGGCGTTCTTACAGGAAACACATTTTCAGGGTACAGAGGCGCCAACCGTGAGAAACGGGCGTTACCCCACAGGATTCTATGCTAATCACCCGGACGGGAAGAAGGCCGGAGTAGCAATCCTACTCTCCAGTACAGTCCCATTCGTTTGCACGGAGCAGAAGTCAGACCCCGGGGGTAGATACGTATTTATCAAAGGCACGATAGCACAGTCCACCTACACATTTGCCTGCCTGTACTCCCCCAATCGACGTCAACACGTCTTCCTAACTAAAACGCTAGCCCTACTAAACAAATTCAGAGAAGGCCTTCTGATAGTGGCAGGAGACCTCAACATTCCCCTTGACTCTAGGTTGGATACATCTAGGGGAGAAACTTCGATACCAGGTCACTGCATACGCTCAACAGGGAGGGCCTTAGCCCGGTGTGGCTTAGCTGACTGCTGGAGAGTGGCTAACCCCGAGGGCAGAGACTACACCTTCTACTCGGCTGTACATCGACGCTACAGCCGAATAGACTACATCCTAATGGCGCAAGAGGCCCTAACACTACTCCAGCGAGCTAGCATAGGGCATATCGCAGACTCTGACCACGCCCCCATTACAGTACAAATCCAATCCCCCCTACATAAACCTGCAGAGCGGCAATGGAAGTTGAACGAAAACTTACTACTTGACCTAGTGGACAAGGAACAAGCCAGGCAAGCACTGACACAATACTTTGACACTAACAACACGCCAGACACCCCCCCCTAACAATCTGGGAGGCACATAAATGTGTCATTAGAGGCCACTATATCAAAATATGCTCACAGCGTAAAAAAGAACGCACACAACAATTGTCCACCCTAAACGCACAAATCACCACACTAGAGCAGGCACACAAACAAAATCAGGGGGAAAACGAGTACCACCGACTGACGGAGCTTAGGAGGCAGAGACGGGACATACTAGCCAAGGGCCTTTTGCGCACCCTTAGAAAGTCGGCTCGGCACTTCTTCGAGTACTCCAACAAGAGCGGTAGGCTTTTAGCCCGCCAGCTTCAAGACAGGAGAAGGGCGAACCACATACACAAAATTAACACTAGAGACAAGACTGTAACAAGTCTACCCGACGGAATCCAACGTGCTTTTGTGGACTACTACACCGACTTATATAATATCCCCCAGCCCACGACGGTCACCACACAGGCCCAACGCCGGGGCCAAATAACGGAGTACTTAGACCAAAATGTAGAAAGACAATTGACCCCAGAAATGATAGAGGAACTAGAACGACCCCTCACGATAGAAGAGTTAGCCGCAGCATTAAAAATCTCCAAATCCCACAGGGCGCCTGGCCCAGATGGCCTTCCGCTGGCATACTTGCGAACATTCCGCGATGTATTATTGCCGAACCTCCTACGAGGTCTTAGCTCACTTCAAGACGGGGAACGGTTTCCCACTGACACACTAGCGGCCATAGTCACGGTGATACCCAAAGAAGGTAAAGACCCAGCGAATTGCGCTAGCTACCGCCCCATATCCCTGCTCAATGCAGACCTCAAACTGTTCGCCAAGACACTAGCCCTGCGAATCGCGAAGCACCTACCACACCTAGTGCACTCGGACCAGGTCGGGTTCATCCCAGAGAGGGAGGGAAGAGATAACACCATCAAAGCCCTAAACATACTGCAAGTAGCAAGGTCGCAACACCGGGAGCTACTCCTCCTCTCGACAGATGCCGAGAAGGCCTTCGACCGGGTGGACTGGCTGTACTTGGAGGAAACACTCACACACATGGGATTCGGCCCACGCATGCGATCATGGGTCCTTTCCCTGTACACGAGCCCGACGGCACGGATTCGGGTGAATGGTGCTCTGTCCACCCCCTTTCCCATTCGAAATGGAACCCGCCAGGGCTGCCCGCTGTCCCCCCTCCTGTTTGCCCTCTCCCTGGAACCCTTCCTGGGGGCGGTCCGACGAGATGGGGGTATCACGGGATTCACCGTCGGCCGGCGAGAATATCGAGTTGCGGCATACGCGGATGACATGTTGTTTTTCCTCACCCTTCCGCGGATATCACTTCCTAATCTTCTGGCCGCATTCCGAAGGTTTGGCTTGATATCTAACCTTAAGCTCAACACAGATAAGTCAGAAGCCCTTCACCTTCCAAGCCCCCAGGACTCCTCAACGACGCTACACACCCAATTCCGCTTCAAATGGTGCCCCACTAAATTGAAATACCTGGGTATATGGCTACCAAAAGACATGACCCAACTGTACTACCAAAACTACCACCCGCTGCTACAAAAGATCCAGGCAGACATGAGAAAATGGGCCCCACAATATATATCTTGGTTTGGACGCATTAACGCAGTCAAAATGAACCTACTACCCAGACTGCTCTATTTATTCCAGACGGTGCCGATCGCGGTCCCCAGGGCGTTCTTTAGCTCCCTGTTGACCGCCATCCGCAGATTCGTTTGGAATTCGCGCCCAACACGCATCAAGAGAACGACATTGGAACTGCCAAAACCGTTGGGGGGTACCGGCCTGCCCTCAATTGAGACATACTACCGGGCCGCACATTTACACAGGCTCACAGACTGGCACGCACAGCATCCCACAAAACAATGGGTCACGCTGGAATTGGAACAGTCGGGAGGGCACATACCCCCCACATTATGGCTACACACTGCTACGCATGCAGATCTACAAACTAAAAACCCCTTAATAGACGCCACCCTGAGGGTCTGGATGGCAACCCGATACCGTCTACAACTCACCACTTCGCCCAGCCCCCTGATCCCCCTCACACATAACCCGGACTTGGCAGATTCACTGACTCGAGGTGACCTAGCCGGACTCCAACCGACGGACTGGTCATATATACACCAATGGCTCAGCACCAACGGCCTAAAAACAATCGGAGAACTATGCCCCGACAGAACACCTACATTCCTTGAACAGTTTAGATACCGCCAAATAAAATCTTACTACTCAGCCCTGTCGGGTAAGGGGCACCTACACAGACCCTTAACTGACTTTGAAACCCTATGTGTGCAACGCACACACATCACCAGGGGAATTTCAACCCTGTACACCCTACTCACGACTCAGACGAACAGGGACGTGGAGCTTAGGTTCAAAGACCACTGGGAGAGGGATGCGGGAGAGACACTCACTGCGCACGAATGGGACAAGATTTATACCCTCACGCACAAATGCTCTATCAGCTCAAAATATCAGGAATTAAACTATAAAGTGCTAACGCGCTGGTATAGAACGCCCGACACACTGCACCGCATGCACGGTACCACGTCAGGCATGTGCTGGCGATGTGGCACACAACCTGGCACGTATCTCCACATGTGGTGGTCATGCCCAGTAATTGCCCCTTTCTGGGAACAAATTAGAGGAGAGATCAACAAAATTACAGGCACCGATATCCCCCTGGCACCCCTAACGATGCTTTTGCACCACACCCAAAGCCCACTGACAGCCTACAAAAAATCCCTGGAACTGCCGCTACTCAATGCCGCCAAATCCCTTATCCCGAGGATGTGGAAACAGCCAAGAGCGCCCACCTTGAGGCAATGGATGTCAGTGGTAGAGGACATATACTCAATGGAGACCCTGACGGCCGACCTCCACGGGAAATCGGAGCGGTGTGCATTGACCTGGTACCCATGGACCACATACGTGGCAGATGGAACTGTAACCCCCGAGCCAATATAGCTGAAACTCACAGAACACCACGTTAACTGCCTTACCCCCTCATAAGCACAGACACGCCCTACCCATTAACCACACACAGACTACGGACAGTTTTCACCCCCCCCAGACCACAACAGACATCAGGAAGACATAACACCCGCTAGAACAAACTACACAAACCACCGATACCTGGAGTACTCCAGGACGGACACCTTAAATACCCCCTACAGCTACTAGACCAGATACCGGTTCTCACCCTAAACGTAGAGTGCACATCATAAGTGCAACAAACTGCGCACTGAATGCAAGAGGAGCTAGGAGCCTTGAAACCTGATCATATGTTACACTACCTAATGCATGTGAAGGAAACTATTGAAATATTTATGATTTGAGAATGTTAGTATAAAGGCTACGAATGTTGTTATGCTATTCAGAAATATGATGTTACAACGGATGTTTCACCGTATCTACACATTTTTGTGACAAAATGATAAAAAGGAAAATAAAGATTGTCAAAAAAAAAAAAAAAAAACACACACATTCTACATATCCCCAGATAGCTTAGATCTGAGCGCACATTCCTACCGAATGGCGCTCAGATCACATACATACAGGTCAATCGCCGTGGAGCCAAAGTTTTTCCCATAGTCTTTCGTTATACGAATGAACAGTGATTCGGTTCCACTACCGAATGCAGAGGTAAGGAGGCTGGCGGCTCAGCGGTGTTTGCGCAAATAAGTGTCCGTTTTCTGTTCCATAGTTTGGGCGCTGAACACCGCTGGCCGTTCGGGAGTAAAAATGGCCGCTGCCACGTGTTCGGCAGACGAACAAAGGCACATTCCAGTTCCCAGGTGTTTGATTGTTCGGTACTTTGTTCGGTAGATTGAATCTACCGAACACCCCGGCAGAAAGGCACGAATACGCTTTTCTGCAGGGAAAATAAAAGGTTTTAAATGCCGGGCCATAGTCTAAAGGGAGCAGGCGAGCAAACAGGCTCCTCCAGTGGACAGTGGCGAGGCTGGTTTCGTCACATCTATCTATTCCATGTTATCTCTCCCTCTATCTCTATCTATTCCATTTGTTATCTCTCCCGCTATCTCTATCTATTCCATATGTTATCTCTCCCGCTATCTCTAGCTATTCCATGTGTTATCTATCCCGCTATCTCCATATATTCCATCTGTTATCTCTCCTGCTATCTATCTATTCCATGTGTTATCTCTCCCTCTATGTCTATCTAATCCATGTGTTATCTCTCCCGCTATCTCTATCTATTCCATGTGTTATCTCTCCCTCTATCTCCATATATTGCATGCGTTATCTCTCCCACTATCTCGATCTATCCCATTTGATCTCTCCCGCTATTCCATGTTATCTCTCCCACTATCTCTATCTATTCCATGTGTTATCTCTCTTGCTAGCTCTATCTATTCCATGTGTTATCTGTCTTGCTATCTATTCCATGTGTTATCTCTCCCGCTATCTCTATCTATTCCATGTGTTATCTCTCCCGCTATATCTATCTATTCCATGTGATCTCTCCTGCTATCTCTATCTATTTCATATGTTATCTCTCCGCTATCTCTATCTATGTCATGTGTTATCTCTCTTGCTATCTCTATCTATTCCATGTGTTATCTCTCCCGCTATCTCCATCTATTCCATGTGTTATCTCTCCCGCTATCTCTGTCTATGTCATGTGTTATCTCTCTTGCTATCTCTATCTATTCCATGTTTTATCTCTGCCGCTATCTTATCTATCACATGTGTTATCTCTCCCGCTATCTCTATCTATTCCATGTGTCATCTCTCCCTCTATCTCCATATATTGCATGCGTTATCTCTCCCGCTATCTCTATCTAGTCCATGTGTTATCTCTTCCACTATCTCTAGCTATTCCACGTGTTATCTCAATATATTTCACGCATTCTCTTTCCTGCTATTAATTCCATGCTTTATCTCTTGCACTCTCTGTGCCCATTCCATGTACTATCTTTTGCGTTATTTCTCTGCTTTTTACAAGACTCTTGTTTTGTTAACAGGCTCGAACAGGAAGCCACAAGAAAGATTCAGGAATCACCAAGTTTCAATAAGAAGAGGAAAGTTTCACTGCTGTTTGATCACCTTGAACCATCAGAACTCGCTGATCATCTCAGCTACTTGGATTTCAAATGTTTCTGCAGAATTTCGGTAACATTTAATCTGATGGAGGAATGGGCGGGCAAGGATTGTGGATTTCTGGGTAGATTCATGAGTGGAGGGCAGATAAAATCACTTGACCGACTAATTTCTCTGTTATCATGATTTTTAGAGCCTTAGTCAGGTGACATTGTCTTCAAAATGCATTGCCTGAAAAATACCTAAATCACTGGCAGTCGTGAGCTCCAGTTTATTTTGCAAAGGTATAACGTAGGTTAAAGGGACACTACAGACCCCTGAAGCCCTTTGCTGAAATGTTTTATGTGTGAAGAGTGTGTCCTCTTTTTTCATTTTACAAAAAGTGCAGATTTCAATAGAAATTGACACTTTTATAAATTAACCTTGTTACACCCCTCATGCTGTCAATCATACAACGGGTCCTGTTACTTCCTGGTTTGGTTAGCTCAGTGGAGATAAACTCGAGGCAGCAATTGCCCAGAGCACCTGCCTTGCAAAGACTTCTCATTGAGCTGCATTGGGAAGTCTGTGATTGGACAGACACGGAAAGTCTGGGCGGGGTTAGAATGGGAAGGCTTGCAAAGGCTGCAGACAAGAGATCTGCAGCTTTTACAAGCTGTTCTAGATATAAACCTAATGAATAAATACAAAAGTGAATGCATGCATGTTTTCATTACCAGCATGACTACTAAATAGTGATTTATGTATTTGGGCTGTGGAGTGTCCTTTTAATCAGCAGGAAATTCTGTGTTTGTACCTTAACAAGACAGAAGTCACGGGCTGCCTGAGTTTGACGGGAGTCATTGTGTACCCATACATTAGTGTTTGTATCTACATGTGCACCCTGTATTTCACAGCAGCTGGAACAACGGGGAATAGACAATCTTCCCTGTCAATTTTAGTCATTTTAAATAAATTTTATAGTCATTTCACCCCAGCTGATCAGGAACAAAACTACAATAATTTTAAATATTACACTTACATTCAAGTCACTCCAGGATCCGCTGCTTCCACTGACATGACGTCCTCTTTCTGAGGAAGAGTTTTGGGAGCCACATAACACGCGTGGCTTCTAATATTCTGCCTTGTCCACTAAATGGCCTAAAAGTGACAGAAATGTTGTGTTCACTAGTTGCTGTGAAAAAAATGTCTACACAAAGTATCTGTGGTAAAATGTTTTATAAATAAATAAAGATCTGTCAGAAAAATTGTCTCTGATTATTCTGTCTCTGTGGCAGCATTTAGACTATCGTAGCTACACGCTACAGAACTCGCTGCGAGATATCCCACATCTAGAGCGATCAGTCAACTTGTGCAATAGTATTTCCCAGTGGGTCCAGATCATGATCCTGAACCGACCCACTCCACAGCAGCGAGCTGAGGTGTTCCACAAATTCATCCAGGTGACTCAGGTATGATCAATGAGCAATAACAGGAGGTATATCCCACAAATGCACAAAGAGGCTCTTAAAGGAGAACTGTTACCTTCCAGGAATATTTTTCAACATTTCATTCAGTGCATTATTTCCCAGATACGTCACAGTCCACCTTTAACAATAATTGTTTGTAGCATTCGGAGATATATGTTAATATTGTAAAATGCTATGGAATATGTTGGTGCTATATGAATACCAATAATAATTCATTTAATGGCAGGTTTTCATTACATTTCATAATGGTACAATTTTTACTCAAAATTTATTTCGAGTTTTAACTATTTTAGTCATTTGGCTAAATTTAACATTAAAAATACATGGTAATATATAATTTTTAAATCCACTATTTGTAGGGAGCGATATTTTCTCTGCACATTAGAATTTTTCTTTTCACATTTTCAATTTGTGTCGCCTTTCATAACATTTACCATTGGTGGATAATCTTGTCCATATTTTTGTAGAAATTTGTATTATCTGTAGAATGTTAGTGATTTTTGGAATGTGTTATCGCCAGTTCAGAACGATCAGGTAGATTTATATTTCTTGCAGAAACTGCGCAAGCTTCAGAATTTTAACACTCTAATGGCTGTGATTGGAGGACTGTGTCATAGCGCCATCTCACGAATGAAGGAGACTCACAGCCACCTGTCCCAAGATGTCCTAAAGGTGAGAGGCCCCAATGGGACATGTTTACCGAGTTTAAACTGTAAAGCCACCAGGAGCTGGAGTTGTCCTGGCATTAGTTACATAGTTACATAGGCTGAAAAAATACTTCCATCTATGAAGCTCAGCCTTTCTCACATCTGTTCCTGCTCCAATAAAGAGCAAAAAAACGTTTGAAGGTAGACAGTTTCATAATGATGGAAATAAGTAATAAAAAAGGGATAGTTGAAAAAAATTCAGACCACACAACTGACTCCGAGCCCTTATAAAGCAGGTTTCCAATATAACTCATAACATACAGAGCTCATATTCTACTGCTATCAAGGCAGTTAAGCCACTCCATTTGTACAATAGATTGAGAGAAATACCGGATTAGTTAATGAATTGCACTGTCATAATGCAGTGCTGTGAATTTAATTGTATGATAACCATTAGTGTTTGTTACAGGTTTGGTTTGATTGGATGATAACCATTAGCGGTTGTTACAGGTTTAGTTTGCTTGGATGATAACCATTAGCAGTTGTTACAGGTTTGGTTTGATTGGATGATAACCATTAGCAGTTGTTACAGGTTTTGGTTTGATTGGATGATAACCATTAGCAGTTGTTGCAGGTTTGGTTTGATTGGATGATAACCATTAGCGGTTGTTACAGGTTTAGTTTGCTTGGATGATTACCATTAGCAGATGTTACAGGTTTGGTTTGATTGGATGATAACCATTAGCAGTTGTTACAGGTTTGGTTTGATTGGATGATAACCATTAGCAGTTGTTACAGGTTTGGTTTGATTGGATGATTACCATTAGCGGTTGTTGCAGGTTTGGTTTGATTGGATGATAACCATTAGCGGTTGTTACAGGTTTAGTTTGCTTGGATGATAACCATTAGCAGTTGTTTCAGGTTTGGTTTGATTGGATGATAACCATTAGCAGTTGTTACAGGTTTGGTTTGATTGGATGATAACCATTAGCAGTTGTTGCAGGTTTGGTTTGATTGGATGATAACCATTAGCAGTTGTTACAGGTTTAGTTTGCTTGGATGATTACCATTAGCAGATGTTACAGGTTTGGTGTGATTGGATGATAACCATTAGCAGATGTTACAGGTTTGGTTTGATTGGATGATAACCATTAGCGGTTGTTACAGGTTTAGTTTGCTTGGATGATTACCATTAGCAGATGTTACAGGTTTGGTTTGATTGGATGATAACCATTAGCAGATGTTACAGGTTTGGTTTGATTGGATGATAACCATTAGCGGTTGTTGCAGGTTTGGTTTGATTGGATGATAACCATTAGTGGTTGTTGCAGGTTTGGTTTGATTGGATGATTATCATTAGCAGATGTTACAGGTTTGGTTTGACTGGATGGATGACCATTAGCAGTTGTTACAGATTTGGTTTGATTGGATGATTACCATTAGCGGTTGTTGCAGGTTTGGTTTGATTGGATGATAACCATTAGCGGTTGTTACAGGTTTAGTTTGCTTGGATGATAACCATTAGCAGTTGTTTCAGGTTTGGTTTGATTGGATGATAAACATTAGCAGTTGTTACAGGTTTGGTTTGATTGGATGATAACCATTAGCGGTTGTTACAGGTTTGGTTTGATTGGATGATAACCATTAGCAGTTGTTACAGGTTTGGTTTGATTGGATGATAACCATTAGCAGTTGTTGCAGGTTTGGTTTGATTGGATGATAACCATTAGCAGTTGTTACAGGTTTAGTTTGCTTGGATGATTACCATTAGCAGATGTTACAGGTTTGGTGTGATTGGATGATAACCATTAGCAGATGTTACAGGTTTGGTTTGATTGGATGATAACCATTAGCGGTTGTTGCAGGTTTGGTTTGATTGGATGATAACCATTAGTGGTTGTTGCAGGTTTGGTTTGATTGGATGATAACCATTAGCAGATGTTACAGGTTTGGTTTGACTGGATGGATGACCATTGGTCAGACACTGTATTCTACCACACATACATTACATGTTGCCACACATACATTACATGTTGCCACACATACATTACATTTCCCTACACATGCAGTGCGTTCCGCACATACAATGTGTTACATGACAACTGAAATAATTTCATGGCTTTGAGAAATATTTGTTTATTTTGTGTAATGAGTTTAGAAGGCAGACTCATCTTTCGTACTTTGTTATAGATTCAACTGGACTATGACCTGCTCTTATATATTTAATACCAACTCTGCTAGAAAGCTAATCCATGCATCCACCATACTAGGTTATATAATATGGGGAATTATTTTTCTTTTTCTTTCACACCCTGCTCGTTGTGTGACAGACACTGAGCGAGATGACAGAACTCCTATCCTCCAGCAGTAATTACAGTACATACAGGCGTGTGTACAATGAATGTGCAGGATTCAAGATTCCTATCCTTGGTGTGCAGCTCAAGGATCTGGTATCTCTCAATGAGGCTCTGCCCGATTACCTGGACAACGGCAAGATTAATGTCAGCAAACTGCACAGTTTGTACCAGCACATCCTGGAGCTCAGGCAGTTACAGAAAGGCAGTCCTCCATTCAAAACCAACAAGGATGTTATACTCCTGCTCACTGTGAGTCCAAACTGTCTGTCTGGCGCTGCTTCATGTATTACACAAACACAGAATGGTGTAGTAGTATGTGAGTGGGAGGCTAGCGCTGCTGCTGTCTGTGTTGTACCTGTGCTGTGAATGCATGGCATGGTGTAGTAGTGTATACATGGCATGGTGTAAAAGTATAATATGGTACATATGGAATAGGGATCCAGCTTGTATCACTAAAACATAAATAAAAAATACAACATAGCGTAATACTGTTGTGGTCTTATTAATTGCCCAATGGTTCAAGGTTACACTCACAGATTTGTTGTATATAGTAAGCCTTCAGGTTACCACCCCTATAGGTAGGGGGGTAGATCCTGTTCGTTTGTAATAACGCCAATCTGGAGACCAAGAAGTTCACACTCTCCCAATGGTTGAAAGTAGAAAACAATGGATTTATTGGCATGTAGTAAAATTAAATTAAAATGGTGTAATAGTGTATACATGGCAGGGTGTAGTAGTGTATACATGGCATGGTGTAGTAGTGTATACATGGCGTGGTGTAGTAGTGTATACATGGCATGGTGTAGTAGTGTATACATGGCAGGGTGTAGTAGTGTATACATGGCATGGTGTAGTAATGTATACATGGCGTGGTGTAGTAGTGTATACATGGCGTGGTGTAGTAGTGTATACATGGCGTGGTGTAGTAGTGTACACATGGCATGGTGTAGTAATGTATACATGGCATGGTGTAGTAGTGTATACATGGCGTGGTGTAGTAGTGTATACATGGTGTGGTGTAGTAGTGTGATGGTGAGACTGTCACAGTCACTAACTGTTCTGTTCCTGCACTGTGTACATGTTGTCTCATATGATGTTTTGGTTCTTTTTATAGTCCTCTCTAGATCTGTTTCACACAGAAGACGAGATATATTCCTTATCCTATACAAGGGAGCCACGGAGTCCCAAGGTTATGGTAAGAACATGCGCAGAATCTGCAATGACAAGCTGTATAGTGAATAGATGGCTTGTGACTGTCCGCACTTTGTGAAATGCATAGAAAACACGTCACCAAACGCAGCCAAAAAACCTGCGGCAAATTACGCACTTAGGATTAATCCCAATCAAATATCTCAGGCTCTAATCCAGAGAGCCTTCAGACTTTTTAAAGGGACACTATAAGTACCGTCTTAATGTAGTAATTACAGTTAGTTAGACCGGGTGGGTTTATATTATTAAAGGGACACTCCAAGCTCCTACACACGTTAGATGCACTGTGTAGGTTAGGTTACAGTTAGTTATACTGGATGGGTTTATATTCTTAAAGGGACATTCCAGGCTCTCACACACGTTAGGTGCACTGTGTAGGTTAGGTTACAGTTAGTTGTACTGGATGGGTTTATATTATTAAAGGGACACTCCAGGCTCCCACACACATTAGATGCACTGTGTAGGTTAGGTTACAGTTAGTCATACTGGGTGGGTTTATATTATTAAAGGGACACTCCAGGCTCCCACACACGTTAGATGCACTGTGTAGGTTAGGTTACAGTTAGTTATACTGGATGGGTTTATATTTTTAAAAGGACACTCCAGGCTCTCACACACGTTAGGTGCACTGTGTAGGTTAGGTTACAGTTAGTTATACTGGATGAGTTTATATTATTAAAGGGACACTCCAGGCTCCCACACACGTTAGATGCACTGTGTAGGTTAGGTTACAGTTAGTCATACTGGGTGGGTTTCTATTATTAAAGGGACACTCCAGGCTCCTGCACACGTTAGGTGCAATGTGTAGGTTAGGTTACAATGGGTGTTTGCACTGTGTTGTCTTTTTTAATAAATTTTTTAGTTTTTCTTATTACTCCAAACATAATCTTTGCTGTGCCGATGAAACACTATTTATGGCAAGTGGTCTGATGTACAATAGAAAATGATAGGGTTACTTCAACTGAAGTTCCTTATCAGATGTCCCAGTGGAAAAGATGGTGAGGGAGAATCCTCAATGTATGCATGGCAGCACTTAGAGGAAGTGATCTTAGATCCCTTCTTCCCAGCATGTGTGAATGGGAATCTGCACTGGAGTAAAGCAGCCAACAGCAGCTCCTGTCCTTGACCTGTACGTGGCCAGCCCGGTCCCCACTGGACCCCACCCAGACTTATAGATATATGTAGACCTGCAAAATAAGCCTCCCCTCATACAAATATTACAAACAGTCTCCACAAACACAACAGCACTGACAATCCGCATACATGCATGCAATACTACAAGCAGCCCCACACATACACACAATGCAACATATCATACTACAAGCAGCCCCACACATACACACAATGCAACAATCCACATACACAATTCCACAAGCAGCCAACATATACAACCCCCATGATATAACACATATCATACACATAGAATGAAAGGAGATGGAGTGGGTAACCTAAACTAATTTATGATCTGAAATGTCAGCGACTAACGACTAACAGAAGTCTAGTACAGCATCTTAGAAGTTAATACTCGCCGTCTAGATTTTAAATTCACTGGCTACTTAGCTACTTGAATATACTGAGTGGATGTCTTGAAGCTGTACTTATAACTTTCTATTATTCTGGGATGGGGTTGTCTGCTTTTCACTAAGACAGGGTGAGTTTTCTGTTGGCGGGGTAAGGGGTGCCCTCGAAGGCACAGTAGGGCGAGAGAGTGTATCTCCAACATGTACCTTGTTTGATTTAATACCCTGCGTATCCCACTTGGGCACTTACCCCCATTAGAGTAAAGGGACACTATAGTCACCAGAACAACTACAGCTTATCGAATTTGTTCTGGTGAGTAGAATCATTACCTTCAGGCTTTTTGCTGTAAACACTGTCTTTTCAGAGAAAATGCAGTGTTTACATTACAGCCTAGTGATAACTTCACTGGCCACTCCTCAGATGGCTGTTAGAGATCCTTCTTGGGTCATGGCTGCCTAAATTGCACCCAAATATTCAGTATCTCCTCCCTCTGCATGCAGACACTGAACTTTCCTCATGGAGATTAATTGATTCAATTTATCTCTATGAGGAGATGCTGATTGTCCAGGGCTGTGTTTGAATCGTGCTGGCTCTGCCCTTGATCTGCCTCCTTCTCAGTCTCAGCCAATCCTATGGGGAAGCACTGTGATTGGATCAAGCTACCACTTCTCCTGATGTCAGCAGGCAGTGGGCAGGTCTAAAGGAAACCGTGACAAAGCCAGCAGCTTCAGGCTTGAATACAAGTAAGATTTTACTATTTTTAGGAAGGTATGAGGGGCTCAGGGTGGCTAGATGGTGGTTTTAACCCTATAGGGTCAGGCATACATGTTTGTGTTCCTGACCCTATAGTGCTCCTTTAACTTATTATTGTTGAACACTACATCTATTATATGCAGTCCTTGTCTAGCACCGACTTTGGTACGCATTCCCCTTAGACCAACAGACTACCTTAAAAAACTGTATTTATGACATGGAGCTATTAGACTCACTACTGTCCAATTTATAAGAATCTGGGCTCCAAAATGGCTATTAGCAACATTGTATATATTGCATAAACATTACCTTGTCAGTAAATACAGTTATATGGTTACTAATGATAATCCTGCTGCAACAGTTAACATTCCACAGTCATTTGCAACAATTAGCCTTTCTTCACGCCCTTCCGCTTTCTCACTAGTACCAACTAGGACAGGGGTAGGCAACCTTTTAGAAGCACTGTGCCGATATAGGATTGTGATGTCCTATAGCGTGCCCGTCCTATTTTCTTTTTAAATTGAGGTCTGTATGCTGCCGTTTTCTGCTTGTGTTATTTATACTGTAATTGCTTTGTATCTTTATATTTGTGCGTATATGAGCTATTATATTGTATATGTTCATTAGTAGTTTATGGTATCGTGTATGATACCTATGAATGTGGGCTGTGTATGGGGGCTGCTTGTGGAATTGTGTGTGGATGGATATGTCACATTGTGTGTTTGGTAGTGTGTGTATGTGTGGGGGCTGTTTGCGGTATTGCATGTGGGGTTGTGTGCATGTATGTGGATTGTTAGCGGGTTATGTTTGTGCGGATTGTGTGTATGTTTGTTTGTGGGCTGTTCGTATTATTTGTATGAGGGGAGGGTTAGTTTGCATTTCTGTGTAAATCTAGCAGTGTGGGTGGCTTCCCTGGGTTCCAGTGGGGGCCAGGCTGGCCAGGAGTCCCAAGGTTATGGTAAGAACATGCGCAGAATCTGCAATGACAGGAGCTGCACCTTATTTACAGGTGCTGGGAGTAAGTGATACGAGATAGTTATCTGAGATCACTTCCTCTATGTGCTGCAATGCATTAATTGAGAATTGTCCTTCACCACCTTTTCGTATTAGCAGATATCTGAAGTTTTACTGGGACTCCTGATAGGCCAGAGCCTGTTTGGCTCTAGCAGCCTTGAGTGCCGTGCATGGCACTAGTGCCGTAGGTTGCCTACCCCTGAACTAGGATAATATCCTTAGCATTACATCTGCCACTGCCTTATCAGATAAATACACGACTGAGTCATTCAGCAGAATAATTTTTATAGCAATTATCCTCTGCCCCTATCTGTCGGTTTATTCGCAAGCATAAAGTACCACTAGCATAATATCAATATTGACACGGAACAACCTAGAGGGGGACATCTTCCCCCTGGTCATTAACAGGTTCATATTACCACGTTAGCATGTCTAAGCGATAGTCTGTATATTCTAACAGATATCAATACTATATTTTGGATATAGACATTATTGGGCTAATAGCAGCCGTGTATCTATATACATTTTTTCATTTATTTGTATGTTGTCTTTTTTATGTTTTACATACAGTTTATCTAAAGTGTGTTGTCTCTTGTTCTTTTTGTCCCATTTGGACTTTTAAATGATCTATTAAGCATTTAGTTTTAACATTTGAGATCATAAATTAGTTTAGGTTACCCTTTCCATCTCCTTTCATTCTTTGCTTATTCTCACTGGGGTTATCCCCCATTAGGAGAGGCTATAATGCCCTGGCTCCATCCCCCTTTACATGTTCTTTCTTTAGTCTGTCATACTCAGTGTCACAATACCACAAACTACTCGTGAACATATACAATAAAACAGACCACAGATTCACCAATACAACACTACAAAGCTACTGACTAATTCTTCTTGACCTCTCTGCCGCCTTTGACACTGTTCTCCTAACGCTTCAATCTCTTGGTTTCTGTGACACAGCCCTCTCGTGGTTCTCCTCCTATCTCTCCCAACGCTCCTTAAAGGACCACTATAGTGCCATGAAAACATACTTGTTTTCCTGGCACTATAGTGCCCTGAGGGTGCCCCCACCCTCAGGGTCCCCCTCCCGCCCGGCTCTGGAAGGGGGAAAGGGGTAAAACTTACCTTTTTCCAGCGCTGGGCGGAGAGCTCTCCTCCTCCGATCCTCCTTTTCTCCTCCCCGTCGGCTGAATGCGCAGGTACTTGCCTCACCCCGTCTTTTCAAGCTCACAGTCGTGGTGTCATTTTTTATCCTGGCCTCACCTTTGCGCCTCATGTCCAGTCTGTTGCTAAAATGTCGATTCCAACTTAAAAACATTGCCCGCATTTGCCCCTTTCTTATACAAGATGCTGCCAAGGAGCTTGTTCATGCTCTAGTAATCTCTCCTATGAATTACTGTAAATCTCTCCTAATTGGTCTCCCCAGAAGCCGTACTGCCCCCCTACAATCTGTGCCAGGCTGATCTTTCTCTCCTGTCGCTCCTCTCACACCTCACCCCTCTGTCAGTCCTTACACTGGCTTCCTGTCCCCTACAGGTGTCAATTTAAAATACTAACCCATACCTATAAAGCTCTTACCAGCTGTAGCCCCTCTTACATTTCTTCACTGATTCATAGGTATGCCCCTTGGTCTCTCCGCTCTGCTGGTGACCTCCTTTCTGCTGCTCGCACCCTTACTGTAAATTCACGCCTGCAATACTTCTCACGGGCTGCTCCTTTCCTTTGGGACAACCTGCCTGCCCCTGTCAGACTCTCCCCTAGTCCTCAATCCTTTAAGAAGTCCCTCAAAACCCATCTTTTCAGGATTGCTGATGGCCTCCAAGAGTAACTTCTATCTCTCAAACCTTCCTCTTGCTCTCTCCTAGAGGGCCACACTCCACTCTCACCTCCAGCTCTGCTACTTTCCCACCATGTCTATTTGCTGTCTTTCTCAATATCCATGCTATTGTATTTTTATACCCCACCTCCTCTAGACTGTAGGCTCGTTTGAGCAGAGTCCTCAACTACCTATTGTTCCTATAAAATGTTATTGTCTCATTTGATTAATTCCCCTTTTTTTGTAAAGCGCTGCTGAATAAGCTGGCGCTATATAAATACAAATAATAATAATAATAACTGCAGCAGCCATAAATAAGACAAGCAGAATACGGCAACATGTACACCTCAATTTTAAAAAAAAGCAGGACCAGCAGGCCAAGGGACTTCAAAATCTTGTTTTGGCACAGTACTACTAAAAGATTGTCTACCCCTGTACTAGACGCTGGTTGGTGCTAGTTACACTTCCGGCCACACTAGGCTTTATCTCTGCAAACACTACACATACAGTCCATAGGCGTGCGCAGCCTATTGCATTAGGGTGTGCACCCTAAATCACAAACACACGCCGCATGTGTATGTGTATATCTATATATATACACACACACACATATATATACACACACATATATACACTGCTGTGTGTGTGTGTGTTGTTAGTGTGCTGTTAGTGTGTTGTGTGAGGGTGCTGTGTGTATGTGTGTGAGGTGCTGTTAGTGTGATGTGTGTGTGTGAGGGTGCTGGTAGTGTGCTATGTGGGTGAGGGTGTTTGTGTGTGTGTGTTAGGGTGCTGTTTGTGTGCTGTGTGTGAGGGTGCTGGTAGTGTGCTTTGTGTGAGGGTGTTTGTTTGTGTGTGTTTGTTAGGGTCCTGTTAGTGTGCTGTGTGAGGGTGCTGTTTGTGCGGTGTGTGTGAGGGTGCTGTGTGTGGGTGTTGTGTATTTGTAAGGGTGCTGTTTTTGTGTGAGGTGCTGTTTGTGTGAGGGTGCTGTGTGTGTGTTTGTAAGGGTGCTGTGTGTGTTTGTGAGGGTGCTGTTAGTGTACTGTGTGTGTGAGGGTGCTGTATGTGTGCTGTGTGTGGGTGCTGTTTGTGTGTGGGTGCTGTTTGTGAGGGTGCCGTATGTGTGTAGGTGCTGTGTGTGTGTGGGTGCTGTGTGTGTGTGTGTGTTGTGTGTTTGGAGGGATTGTGGAGGTGGGGGCAGATTAGTAAATATCCCCCTCCCTTCTTACCTTATGGGATCCTTGCTGCCATGTGCCATCCCTGGTGGTCCAGTGGAAAGTGAACTCTAGCTCAGATCTCGCGAGAGGAACCTGGCGGAGCTGCTGTCTAGAGCTCCCCGGGTCCTCTCCTGCCTACCTCCATGCTGCTGCGGGCCGGTGAGGTAGATCTTTGATCTCCCCGCCGACCCATGGAGGCTTAGAGCAGAGCCGGCACTATCCGGAGATCTCCCCTGCCGGCAGGGGTCAAGTCCTGGGGAATAAAGTGTGGGAATTCTCCCAAGATTCCCACCCAAAAAATAATATACACTTGTGTGTATATATATATTGTGACCTTTATGGGCAAAGCAACACAGTCTCTAGGGTAACAGGTATAGAACAACAGTGTCTTATGCAAAAAAAGGCGTGGTTTATTTATATTGTGCAGAAAAAGCCATGCAGCAATCAGTTTGTTCAAAACGGCAGCAAAACAAAAAGGAAAGTCTACAAACAAAATCCTAGCTCAAATTCGGGCACTTACTAAACATAAAGTAATGTCCCTTACTAAACCAGGGTAATAATCTAAACAAATCAACAAAATAAACATTGGTTTCACCAACCTTTAGCACTTTTTTCTGGTGCTGCTATGCGCAGACCTGCTCTCTCCGCAGGTCAGATTATATCTCCTCCCTTTCTGCTCTGAGACCTGCTAATTAAAGCCTCAGAAGTTGCTAATTGGGCAGGTGAATGAGTACAGGCTAAATACCTTCCTTCTCTTACCCTCCCATAGACTCTGTCACAATATACATACGTACACACACACAGACACACACATTCACAGACACACACACATTCACAAAGTCACAGACACACACACATTCACAGACGCACACACTTACAGACACACACATACACACACACACACATCCACTGACACACTCAGACACACACACTTACAGACACACACACATACATACACACATACACTCAGAGACACACACACTCTCACAAATAGTTTTTTTTAACCCCTTAAGGACCAAACTTCTGGAATAAAAGGGAATCATCACATGTCACACATCATGTGTCCTTAAGGGGTTAAATTAAAAAATGTCCACCCAGTCTCCCTACCTGGAGAGCTGGCGTGGACCTGTCCCTGGGGTCCAGTTGGTCGGGCGCCTGTCTCTATATCAGACGCGGCGAAGGAACTGTGTCCTCTCTGCTCCCTCTCGCCGCGCTGGCTGTCTGCTGTAGCTGGGACCCGGAATATGGCTCCCTTACCGCGTCTGAAATGGAGACAGGCGTCCGACGGGGGGGGAGGGGGTGGATCCATCACCTCTTTGCCCCCCCCCCATGACAAGGGGAACACTTGGGGGCGGCATTTTTTTGCCGCCCCTTGAGTGCCTGCAGGAACAGCGGGAACGGCGTTCCTGCTCAAAAAAAAGTGCACGCGTTCCTGCAGGACTTAATCCATAGTGCGTGCCGCGGGAATTAGGGTGTGCCCAAGCACATGCCTATGATACAGACTCAAAACACCACAGCCAATTCAAATCACCAACCTTGTTAATGGTGCTTGGACTAATCCTTTAAGCAAGTCACCGTCTGGTTTGGGGCATTGAAGCAAACGGAAGAAATTCAAATACGCATCTTTCTCTTATGATTTTGAATGCATTGCTTTTGCAGAAAATTACACAACATATGTATAATAATCACGGTGTTAGAGTGTCCCTTTAATGCCCTTTTTGGCCTCCTCAAAGTCCAATAAACAACGCATCTCACGTGTGGCTTTGCTTTTATTTGTAAATATGTGATTTGTTTGGCCCTTTATTACTGAATATTGATGTCTCTTTTCCAGTCCAGTGTTCCTTATAAGCCCTCCAGTGAGACAACGCAGTGGACCTCCGAAGTGCCTCTTCATCAAGATCCCGAGACTCTCAGTCACAATGTGACACAGATGGTAGAGGTGAGTGGACATTGGGGGTAGGTGACATCTTGAGGGATCTCATGATATGGAAGCTAGGCAAACACTGATTAATTGCAAGAATAGGAAGTAAAATGTGCCTGCTTCAGGTTATAACCCCCAAATAGTATGGCTACAGATTGTTTCTTAGAAACAGTAGCTATTATCTAGATAGTTGAGTAGAAATTTACTAAAATTCTCTAAAAATGCCTATGTTATCTCTGGCAAATAATTGACTGGATCCATCCATTAAAAAAGTAACTCTTTTTATTCCTCCCTTAGGGGTAAATTTAAACCCAAAATTTAAACCAAAAAATGTAGTACAAAAAGTGCCGCTGTGCGCAAATACACAATCCAAATGTCTCCCTCCAAGTCAACGGCGCTACCATCACCTCTAACTTGCTGGCTCACTGCCTGGGTGTTCTTTTTGACTTCAACCTCTCCTTCACCCCTCATGTGCAATCAATCACCAAATCCTGTCACTTCCATCTCAAAAACATAGCGCGCATCCGCCCCTATTTAACGCCGGATGTGGCTAAGGTGCTGGTCCATGCTGTTGTTCTCTCTCGCCTTGACTACTGCAATCCCCTTCTCAGTGGTCTTACGTGTTCCCAGATTGCACCGCTGCAATCTATAATGAATGCTCTGTCAGTCCCTGCATTGGCTTCCTGTTAGATATAGGTCTCAATTTAAAATTCTGGTGCTTGCTTACAAGTCCCTACATAATGCTGCACCAACCTACCTATCCTCCTTATTACACAAGTATGTCCTGTCGAGGTCCCTGTGCTCTGCCAAAGACCTACGTCTATCCTCTGTCCGTACTCCCACCTCTGATGCTCGCCTCCAGGATTTGTCCAGGGCTGCACCTTTTTCTGTGAAACTCCCTTCCCTTCTCCGTAAGACTTTCACCCAGTCTCCACTCCTTCAAAAAATCATTGAAAACTCACTTCTTCAAGAAAGCATATCAATTAAACTGCTAGCAGGTTTTTATCCCCCACCCCCTATGACTCCTCTCCTGCAACTGTCAAAAATTATCTACTAAGCCCTCATAATAAATCTGGTTTCATAATGAATGAAATAGTTAATACCACAACATTGCCCTATCTCCTGTCAAGTAAAAAGTCCTTTGACTGGTAACATTTCTATCTGCACTTAGTTCCATATTGTACCCATTGTACAGCGCTACGCAATTTGCTGGCGCTATATAAATATTAAAATATTAATATTGGCAGGTAGCTCAGAGGTATGGTTTGATTCTAGATACAGGGAAATTGGAAATTGATGGAAAATGTAAAGTTACAGTTTTATAGAAAAATGCAGCAAGATCCATTTCTTTATTTTAAGAGGAAATAGGAAGTAAAATGTTAGAAGTCGGACTTGGCAAATCACATGACTTGATCATGAGACGGGCAAGCTCCCCATCAGCTGACAGAGCGACTGCTATAAAGGGCATCCTTACCACATGTGTAGACATGCTTGCTGAACGTACTTTAATACTTTATATAGGCTACCTGGCATCCTGCTGTGCATGCGCTACAAAGGAGCAAGAACCCTTTATGTTCAGACAAGATAGCTGTACTGAAATTATTCCATTTACCTCTGCTTATTTTACACCTGTCTGTGAGCGTGCTGCTCCGGTAGTGGAAGTAACAACAATAATATAAATATATATATAATGTATACAGTATAACTATATACACATTATACCATATACAGTAACTATATACATTACTTATATACATTATACACTGTATACAGTAACTATATACACATTATACCATATACAGTAACTATATACATTACTTATATACATTATACACTGTATACAGTAACTATATACATATTATACCATATACAGTAACTATATACATTACTTATATACATTATACACTGTATACAGTAACTATATACACATTATACCATATACAGTAACTATATACATTACTTATATACATTATACACTGTATACAGTAACTATATACACATTATACCATATACAGTAACTATATACATTACTTATATACATTATACACTGTATACAGTAACTATATAATTATACCATATACTGTAACTATATACATTACTTATATACATTATACACTGTATACAGTAACTATATACACATTATACCATATACAGTAACTATATACATTACTTATATACATTATACACTGTATACAGTAACTATATACATTGTACCATATACTGTAACTATATACATTATTTATATACATTATACACTGTATACAGTAACTATATAATTACACCATATACTGTAACTATATACACATTATACCATATACATTACTTATATACATTATACACTGTATACAGTAACTATATACACATTATACCATATACTGTAACTATATACATTACTTATATACATTATACACTGTATACAGTAACTATATACATTGCACCATATACTGTAACTATATACACATTATACCATATACATTACTTATATACATTATACACTGTATACAGTAACTATATACACATTATACCATATACTGTAACTATATACTTTACTTATATACATTATACACTGTATACAGTAACTATATAATTATACCATATACAGTAACTATATACACATTATACCATATACTGTACCTATCTACACATTATATCATATACTGTAACTATATACATTATTTATATACATTATACACTGTATACAGTAACTATATACATTGTACCATATACTGTAACTATTTACACATTATACCATATACTGTAACTATATACATTATTTATATACATTATACACTGTATACAGTAACTATATACATTGTACCATATACTGTAACTATTTACACATTATACCATATACAGTAACTATATACATTATTTATATACATTATACACTGTATACAGTAACTATATACATTGTACCATATACTGTAACTATATACACATTATACCATATACTGTAACCATATACATTATACCATATACTGTACCTATATACACATTATACCATATACTGTAACTATATACACACATTATACCATATACTGTAACTATATACATTATTTATATACATTATACACCGTATACAATAACTATATACATTATACACTGTATACAGTAACTATATACATTGTACCATATACTGTAACTATATACACATTATACCATATACTGTATCTATATACATTATTTATATACATTATACCATATACAGTGACTATATACATTATACCATATACTGTAACTATATATATTATACACCGTATACAGTAACTATATACATTATACGCCATATTGTCACAGCCCCCGGCTCACCGCCATGTGCGTCTGTGCCCAAACGGCACATCCATGGCTCCACCCCACAAAATTATACGAACGTGCGCGTGACGTCACAACGTCAACGCACGCGCACGTTCTGGTGTCAGAGGTCACCCTCTGACCAATCAGAGCCTAGAGAGGGATATTTAAATCCCTAATTCACTCCAGTTCCTTGCCCTGTCGTGGTTTCTCATTCCTGGTTTCCTGAGAGTGCGGTTTTCCTTGTGATATTGATATTCTGGTATCCTGATCTTGGTTATTCCTGGTTATTCCGATTTCTGGTTCCCCTGACTTGGCTTGTTTAACCGGTATCTGAGTATTTCTGGCTTCCTTGACCTCGGCTTTCCCTTTGACCATTCTCTATCTCTAGCGTATTAGTCCGGCCATTCTAAGGTAAGGTTTACGCTATTTCCTTTTATTTCCTTTCCTTTTTTATGTATATGTTTACACAGTTTCTGCATGTTGGACCACACTAACAGCCGTGACACATATACAGTAACTATATACATTATACCATATACAGTAACTATATACATTATTTATATACATTATACCACATATACAGTAACTATATACATTATACCATATACAGTAACTATATACATTATTTATATACATTATACCACATATACAGTAACTATATACATTATACCATATACAGTAACTATACACATTATTTATATACATTATACAATATACAGTAACTATATACATTAATTATATACATTATACATTGTATACAATAACTATATACATTATACCATATACAGTAACTTTATACATTAATTATATATATTATACACCATATACAATAACTATATACATCATACCATATACAGTAACTATATACATTATTTATATACATTATACATCGTATACAATAACTATATACATCATACCATATACAGTAACTATAAACATTATTTATATACATTATACACCGTATACAGTAACTATATACATTATACCATATACAGTAACAGTATGCATTATTTATATACATTATACAATATACAGCAACTATATACATCATACACCATATACAATAATTATATACACATTATACCATATACAGTACCTATATACATTATTTATATACATTTTACAGCATATACATTAACTATATACATTACACCATATACAGTAACAGTGTGCATTATTTATATACATTATACCATATACAGTATGCATTATTTATATACATTACACTATATACAGTAACTATATACACTATACCATATACAGTAACAGTATTCATTATTTATATACATTATATCATATACAGTAACTTTATACATTATACCATATACAGTAACAGTGTGCATTATTTATATACATTATACCATATAAAGTAACAGTATGCATTATTTATATACATTACACCGTATACAGCAACTATATACACTATACCATATACAGTAACTATATACATTATACCATATACAGTAACAGTATTCATTATTAAATATACATTATATGCCATATACAGTAACTATATACATTATTAATATACATTATATACCCTATATAGAAACGATATACATTAATTTACATTATACCCCATATACAATAACTATAGATGTTATAAGCCATATCCAGTAACAGTATTCATTATTTATATACATTATACTATATACAGTAACTATATACATTATACCATATACAGTAACAGTGTGCATTATATATATTATACCATATACAGTATGCATTATTTATATCCATTACACGGTATACAGTAACTATATACACTATACCATATACAGTAACTTTATACATTATACCATATACAGTAACAGTATTTGTGACGGAACGCTGGCACTCCGACTGAGTACCTCCGCCAATCGATGTTCCTAGTGCTCGCTGAGGACTCCAAGCACTCCAACCGACACCATCAGCACTGCAGACCCCACTTCCAGCGATGCAACTGCGCCGGGGTCTCTGCTGTTTCCACCCACCCTGGACCCAAGGCCAGGATCCAGCTTCCAGTGGGTGAACCTCTCTTTTCCCCAGAGAGCAGGAACAGGAACAAATCAAGCTATTGCAAGAGCTTCCTCTGGGGAGTAAGTGATTATAGCAATCCCCAGAGTGTAGGTATCCCTTCCCCCAAACATGAGCCAAGGCTTAATGCTGGAACAAGACTGATTTACTGGCACACAGAACTCACAATTTATGCAACACAAAACTCCTCCTCTGGGCCAGGCTAGATAATTGAGTTTCTACAATACACAAAGCTCAATTATCTGCTGGCCAGAAATAATACAGTTTCATAAAACACACAGGGACCCCAAAACATGCAATAACCCCATAAAAAGTATATCCTTGGAACCGGGGGATCTGGGTGAACCACATATCCAAAATTCACCCAGATCCGTTCAGTACTTTGGAAAATACAGTTTAATGCAGATTCTGCAGAACATATACAGGCTAAATGAAAAACAATCACTTTATAATGTGTCCCCTGCTGTATAGTCCAAAACCACTGCACGATGTCTCTGTGCACCAAATACTGGCGAGATGGCACCGTGTTGAAAAGTCCAAACAGTGTCTGTGAGTTAAAATGGCCGCCATCCATTGTTCTCACCATGTGCTTCTGATACAGGAAATGGTGGCCACCCAGTAACTCCACAGTATGTCCCCAGATGGTTCTTAAAGGGCCAGCAGCAGCACAACACAAATCCATTATGCCCAAATCATGTCTTTAAAGGGCAATACATCCCAGGGGCCATAGTCACAGGGCAAGAGGCGGGCAAGCAGTCCTCTCCAGGCACAAGTGGCGAAGGGCACTTCGTCACACATCTTCCCTTTGGGGGGAAGACTAAACAGGTACCTGACCTTCTGCCGGTCAGTACCTAGATTAGTCGGGCAGCCCACCCACAAAGAAAAATACGCAGAGTAACCCCCCCACAATAAATGGTACTGGCCTGTAGGTTCACGTTTGTAGGGGGACAGCGCAGCACTCTCGGTCTCCCTGGTGCAGCTAGGCAAACTGCTGGTGTTGCTTGGGGGGCAGAGGCCAGCGGCGCTCTGCCCTGCTGCCAGCTCTTCCACTGGGGTAACCCGTGGTAAGTCAGGCTCTGATACAGGGGAAAGGGGGGGGCAGAGGCTAACAAGCTCTGCCCAGATGCCAGCTCTTCTGCTGGGAGGGGGTCAGTGGGTATCGCAGGCTCATCCACTGCCCCCAGGACCCGGTTGGGATGTAGCTGGGGAGGGGAAGTTTCGCTTACCTCCTCCTCCTGGCATCCCTGCGGGGTTGGTTGGGGATCTGGACCGCCCGTCCAGCCTCCCTGTAGGACTGGCACAGAGACCGCGGTCCCATCTGCGCCAGTGTGGTTAGGTTTGTCTTCCCCCTCTCCCGGTATCTCTGGCTGCTGTTGGAGGGGGAGGCTGGTTGCCCCCACTCCCCAGGACGCTGGTTGCTGTAAGGTGGAGGGATTGACCATCACCTCCTCCTGGAACTCAGGCCGCCGCTGGGGAGAGAGACCAGTTGTCTCCTCTCCCTGTATATTATACTGCCGCTGGGGACCTAGGCTGACTGCCCAGCATCCCTGTAGGGCCGGCAGAGAGACTTCGGTCCCATCTCCGCTTGCCATCTCTGTGTGTCCCCAGGACAAGTCTATGAGGTCGCCCACCTCCGGCTGCTGTTGGAGAGGGAGGCCGGTTGCCTCCCCTCCCCAGGATGCTGGTTGCTGTATGGGGGAGGGATCTACCATCACCTCCTCCTGGAACTCAGGCTGCTGCTGGGAAGGGAGACCGGTTGTCTCCTCTCCCTGTGAGATACACTGCCGCTGGGGATCTGGGCCGGGTACCCAGCATCCCTGTGGGGCAGGTGGAGAGACCTCGGTTCCATCTCCACCTGCCATCTGTGGGTCTTCCCCGGACCGTTCCATAAGGTTGCTCACCTCTGGGGCTAGTTGGACAGAAGAGGGTAGGGTGTCCAGGTAATCCTCTGGGCTGAGGGACGGTGATTGGGCTAAGTTGAACAGGCGTCGGTAGCTCTGCTCCAGCCCCCACTCCATTGCGACCAGATGACTCAGGTCTGGCCCCAGGTCGTCCGCTCGGGGAAGATCCAGCAGGGTTTCCCTGATGTTGTGGATGTCCCAGAACCGAAACTCTGTGGGGCATCCAAAGTCATCGCCCTCCTCATAGGCCTCCCACAGTAAGCCCGGGCCATTATAATCCTCTCCCTCGGGCAGATAGTGGTTAGTCATCGAGGGGTTGCGCTGGGTGGCGTACCACTTTAATGCCCGGTAAGCTGCATCTAGCCACAACTCCTTCCAAATTAAATCCCAGAGTTCCAACAACCATTCATCCAAGGGTTGCTCCCCTAGGAAAGGGGAGCGCAGGGCCTCGAGTACCTGAAACCGCTGCTCGTCACTGGGAAGGCTCTCTCCCCGCCGCGTTGTACCTTTTCCAGGGCATCGTGCCACATCTCCGTACGAGTGACATCTCTCCAGTCCAGTATGCACTCCTCTGATACAGGCCCGTCCTGTTGGGCCAAGTGCTGCTGCAACCTCCAGCGAAACTCCTCTTCCATGTTGCTGTGGATAGGGACGCTGCCCGTAGCTAGCTCTATCCCTTGAGTTCCTCTGAAGCCAGGGTCGCTGCACAAGTGCTAGCGTTGCCCTCAATTATAAATCCGTAACTCCACACGTTACCGGTGTCTCCGAGCTGCTGGTCCTTGCACTAGGACGCCATCCCGCCGCTGCCACCAAATGTGACGGAAAGCTGGCACTCCGACTGAGTACCTCCGCCAATCGATGCTCCTAGTGCTCGCTGAGGACTCCAAGCACTCCAACCGACACCATCAGCACTGCAGACCCCACTTCCAGCGATGCAACTGCGCCGGGGTCTCTGCTGTTTCCACCCACCCTGGACCCAAGGCCAGGATCCAGCTTCCAGTGGGTGAACCTCTCTTTCCCCAGAGAGCAGGAACAGGAACAAATCAAGCTATTGCAAGAGCTTCCTCTGGGGAGTAAGTGATTATAGCAATCCCCAGAGTGTAGGTATCCCTTCCCCCAAACATGAGCCAAGGCTTAATGCTGGAACAAGACTGATTTACTGGCACACAGAACTCACAATTTATGCAACACAAAACTCCTCCTCTGGGCCAGGCTAGATAATTGAGTTTCTACAATACACAAAGCTCAATTATCTGCTGGCCAGAAATAATACAGTTTCATAAAACACACAGGGACCCCAAAACATGCAATAACCCCATAAAATATATCCTTGGAACCGGGGGATCTGGGTGAACCACATATCCAAAATTCACCCAGATCCGTTCAGTACTTTGGAAAATACAGTTTAATGCAGATTCTGCAGAATATATACAGGCTAAATGAAAAACAATCACTTTATAATGTGTCCCCTGCTGTATAGTCCAAAACCACTGCACGATGTCTCTGTGCACCAAATACTGGCGAGATGGCACCGTGTTGAAAAGTCCAAACAGTGTCTGTGAGTTAAAATGGCCGCCATCCATTGTTCTCACCATGTGCTTCTGATACAGGAAATGGTGGCCACCCAGTAACTCCACAGTATGTCCCCAGATGGTTCTTAAAGGGCAGCAGCAGCCCAGTCTCAATACATCCCAAAGTCACATTAGTCCCAAATCACAAGTATGCACTTCGTCAGGGGTACATCCCAGATAGGGGCAAGAGGCAAGCAGTCCTCTCCAGGCACAAGTGGCGACGGGCACTTCGTCACAGTATTCATGATTAAATATACATTTTATGCCATATACAGCAACTATATACATTATTAATATACATTATATACCCTATATAGAAACTATATACATTAATTTACATTATACCCCATATACAATAACTATAGATGTTATAAGCCATATCCAGTAAATATAATATATTATACCATATACAGTAACAGTATTCATTCTTTATATACATTATACTATATACAGTAACTATATACACTATACCATATACAGTAACTATATACATTATACCATATACAGTAACAGTATTCATTATTAAATATACATTTTATGCCATATACAGCAACTATATACATTATTAATATACATTATATACCCTATATAGTAACTATATACATTAATTTACATTATACCCCATATACAATAACTATAGATATTATACGCCATATACAGTAACTACACTGAACAAAATTATAAACGCAACACTTTAGTTTTTGCCCCCATTTTTCATGAGCTGAACTCAAAGATCTAAGACTTTTTCTATGTACACAAAAGGCCTATTTCTCTCAAATATTGTCCACAAATCTGTCTAAATCTGTGTTAGTGAGCACTTCTCCTTCACTGAGATAATCCATCCACCTCACAGGTGTGGCATATCAAGATGCTGATTAGACAGCATGATTATTGCACAGGTGTGCCTTAGGCTGGCCACAATAAAAGGCCACTCTAAAATATGCAGTTTTATCACACAGCACAATGCCGCAAGTTTTGAGGCAGTGTGCAATTGGCATGCTGACTGCAGGAATGTCCATCAGAGCTGTTGCCCATGAATTGAATGTTCATTTCTTTACCATAAGCCATCTTCAAAGGCGTTTCAGAGAATTTGAACCACAGACCATGTGTAACCACATCCAGCATCTTCACCTCCAAGATCGTCTGAGACCAGCCACCCGGACAGCTGCTGCAACAATCTGTTTGTATAACCAAAGAATTTCTGCACAAATTGTCAGAAACCATCTCAGGGAAGCTCATCTGCATGCTCGTCATCCTCATCGGGGTCTCAACCTGACTGCAGTTCATCGTCGTAGACAGATTTGTGAACAATATTTGAGAGAAATAGGCCTTTTGTGTACATAGGAAAAGTCTTAGGATCTTTAAAGTTCAGCTCATGAAAAATGGGGGCAAAAACTAAAGTGTTGCGTTTATAATTTTGTTCAGTGTATATATATATATACTTTATATGCTATATACAGAAACTCTACACATTATATGCCATATACAGTAACTGTATACATTATATACATTATACAGTAACTATATACATTATACACCATATACAGTAACTAAAATAAATATATTATATACATTAATCACTATACATAGTAACTATATACATAATACGCTTTATAGAGTGACTATATACATTATACGCCATATACAGTAATTGTATAAATTATTTATACATTATATGCCATATACAGTAACTGTCAGGGCCGATTCTGGGCAGATGCACCAGTTGCCCGAAGGTGGGGAGATACAAGACGAGCACTGTCACAGTGTGCCTAGAAGGTCCACCTTAGGGCACCCCCAATGTGACGCTAATTCAGTAATGCAAAGTAGGCACCTGATACCTGGATGGCAAGTGCCAGAGGGAAGTGGGGGGAGAGGAGGAAGGCAGCAGGCGGCGGCAAGGGAGCGCTGATCTTCACTCCTCCCTTGCTCTCCCTCTGTGACTGGACCCCAGGGAGAGGTAGGGAGGCTGGATGGGCAAGTGTGCAAGAATGTGTGAGTATGTCTGCAGTGAGTGTGTGTGCATGTCTGTCAGTGTGTAAGGTCTGTCAGTGTGTGTGTTTGTCTGTCGGTGTGTGAATGTCTGTCAGTGACCGTGTGTGAAGCTACTCGCCCATGTTAAAACAATCTTTCTATCAGCCATCCTCAAGCTATACTGCTGATGTGCACTGTCAAAGAATATATATACACAGCAATCCCACTGAAAACAAGAACACTGCCTTTCCCAATCACTTCAGGCATTGTGGATTGCAGCAAAGGTGTGTCTTTGAGTCAGTGAATGTGTGTGTCTGTCAGTGAATGTGTGTGTGTGTGTGTGTCTGTCAGTGCATGTCTATTAGTGAGTATGTGTGTGTCTGTCAGTGAATGTGTGTGTCTGTCTGTCTGTCAGTGAGTGTGTAAATCTGTCACTGAGTGCATGTCTATTAGTGAGTATGTGTGTGTCTGTCAGTGAATGTGTGTGTGTGTCTGTCAGTGAGTGTGTGTCTGTCAGTTAGTGTGTGTCTGTCTGTCAGTGAGTGTGTAAATCTGTCACTGAGTGCATGTCTATTAGTGAGTATGTGTGTGTCTGTCAGTTAGTGTGTGTCTGTCTGTCACTGAGTGCATGTCTATTAGTGAGTATGTGTGTGTCAGTTAGTGTGTGTCTGTCTGTCAGTGAGTGTGTCAATCTGTCACTGAGTGCATGTCTATTAGTGAGTATGTGTGTGTCTGTCAGTGTGTGTGTGTCTGTCAGTTAGTGTGTGTCTGTCTGTCATTGAGTGTATCAATCTGTCACTGAGTGCATGTCTATTAGTGAGTATGTGTGTGTCTGTCAGTGTGTGCATCTGTCAGTGAGTAAGTGCATCTGTATATCAGTGAGTGTGTTTCAAATTAGTGAATTGTGTGTCTGTCACTGAGAGTGTGTGTCTGCCAGTGTGCATCTGTCAATGTGTCTCTCTCAGTGAGTGTGTGTCTCATTAGAAAAATAGGTGGGGCTTATGGATGGAGAGGTGGAGTCGTTGCCATAGAAAGATGCACATCTGGACATTTGAGAAGGGGAGAAGTTGGTAAGTCTACCACACCTACGTGGAGGCGCCAAAAAGGTTCTGCATCCAGGCATCTGTAACCCTAGGATCGGCCTTGGTAACTGTATACATTATACACCATATACAGTAATTGTAACTATATACATTATACGCCATATACAGTAATTAATCACATTACACACCATATACAGTAACTAACTATATACATTATACACCATATACAGTAACTAATTACATTATACACCATATACAGTAACTGTAACTATATACATTATACGCCATATACAGTAATTAATCACATTACACACCATATACAGTAACTAACTATATACATTATACCACATATACTGTAACTAATTACATTATACGCAATATACAGTAACTGTAACTATATACATTATACACCATATACAGTAATTCATCACATTATACACCATATACAGTAACTATATACATTATACACCATATACAGTAACTAATTACATTATACGCAACATACAGTAACTGTAACTATATACATTATACACCATATACAGTAACTCATTACATTATACACCATATACAGTAACTAACTAATTACATTATACCCCATATACAGTAACTGTAACTATATCCATTATACACCATATACAGTAACTATATACATTATACACCATATACAGTAACTAATTACATTATACACCATATACAGTAACTAACTATATACATTATACACCATATACAGTAACTAATTACATTATACACCATATACAGTAACTAACTATATACATTATACACCATATACAGTAATTAATCACATTATACACCATATACAGTAACTATATACATTATACACCATATACAGTAATTAATCACATTATACACCATATACAGTAACTAACTATATACATTATACCACATATACTGTAACTAATTACATTATACGCAATATACAGTAACTGTAACTATATACATTATACACCATATACAGTAATTCATCACATTATACACCATATACAGTAACTATATACATTATACACCATATACAGTAACTAATTACATTATACGCAACATACAGTAACTGTAACTATATACATTATACACCATATACAGTAACTCATTACATTATACACCATATACAGTAACTAACTAATTACATTATACCCCATATACAGTAACTGTAACTATATCCATTATACACCATATACAGTAACTATATACATTATACACCATATACAGTAACTAATTACATTATACACCATATACAGTAACTAACTATATACATTATACACCATATACAGTAACTAATTACATTATACACCATATACAGTAACTAACTATATACATTATACACCATATACAGTAATTAATCACATTATACACCATATACAGTAACTATATACATTATACACCATATACAGTAATTAATCACATTATACACCATATACAGTAACTAACTATATACATTATACCACATATACTGTAACTAATTACATTATACGCAATATACAGTAACTGTAACTATATACATTATACACCATATACAGTAATTCATCACATTATACACCATATACAGTAACTATATACATTATACACCATATACAGTAACTAATTACATTATACGCAACATACAGTAACTGTAACTATATACATTATACACCATATACAGTAACTCATTACATTATACACCATATACAGTAACTAACTAATTACATTATACCCCATATACAGTAACTGTAACTATATCCATTATACACCATATACAGTAATTAATCACATTATACACCATATACAGTAACTATATACATTATAGGCAATATACAGTAACTATATACATTACTTATATACATTATACACCATATACAGTAACTAACTATATACATTATACACCATATACAGTAACTAATTACATTATACGCCATATACAGTAATTGTAACTATATACATTATACGCCATATACAGTAATTAATCACATTATACACCATATACAGTAACTATATACATTATACACCATATACAGTAACTGTAACTATATACATTATACCACATATACAGTAACTATATACATTATACGCCATATACAGTAACTATATACATTTATACATATTATATGATCACTAAAGTAATTACATACAGCATGTATATTATATCATAAATATCCCTCCCCCACCCCCCCTCCCCCACCCCAATCCACATCCTGACTGGTTTCCTGAATTAGTGTATTTCGGTTAGCTCTATTCAGTTCTAAAACACGTGAATCTAACGTGTTGCTCGTGTAATTTGTGGAATCTCTGAAACACTTTGATTCGAAAAAGTAAGAGACATATTTGTAACTGCAAACAGCACTGGGGGTGGGAAGCAATATAGATTTATTTATTGGCATTTATAAAGCGCCAACATATTCCGCAGCGCTGTACAATTGGGAAAGACAACACAATAAGAACAGACCGATACAACAGGTAGAGGGCCCTGCCCGTGAGCTTACAATCTAAAGGTTAAACTAGGAAGATGAGACAAGAGGTAGCAGAGGGATTTGTATGTGATAGCAGAGAGAGTTATAATGGTATAACTGCAGCAGCTGATAGCATGTGAAGGTAATAAGGAGGTGATTGGCTATGGTTCCAAACAGCTGGAAGAGCATGCTATATAGTAAGAAGGAACCAGGGTGGGTAGAGCCGAGTAAAATTAAAAGGCCTTGTAGCTGGGATGAATGATGATTTGGGGCTAAGGAAGAGAGAGAAAAAACATTTACTTAAAAGGTATTTACAGCTGAGAGTAGCAAGGGGGGGGTGTGGGGGTGGAGATTCTGCAGATTCTACAAATCTAGAGAGGATCCAACACCTCCAGTACTGTTTGATTTTCATTTAAAATAATTACATCAACTTGTTCAATAATGCTTAATAAACTGAAGTTTGGAGATCACTTTATATTAAAGGAATACTATAGTGTTTGGAGTACAAACATTTATTGCCTGTAGTTACCTGTTCAATGTTTTAGGTACCCAGCCCCCCTCCAAGCTTTACCCACCTTTTTTCCCACACCGTGGTGGTCAGTCTTGCTGATCTCAGCCAATCGAGTGCTTTCCCATAAGAAAACACCATGCTGCACCAATCAGCATCTCCTCATAGATATACATTCAATCAATGCATCTCTATGAGGAACATTCAGCGCCTCCACGCAGAGGAAGACACAGAACATGGGTGCTGCACATTGTGCAGTACTGAGATAGGAAGCACTTCTAGTGGCCGTCTGACTGACTGTCACTCAAGGTGTTACTGGGCAGCAATGGAAAAACGCTGCATTTTCTCTGAATACATTATTTATATAAATTCTACACCACAACAATTACATTAAGCAGCCGTGGTTCTGTTGATTGTAGTTTCACTTTAAATATCAATATGACTTATCGAGGCATTATCTATACTTTGATACTTGAGAAAATTACATAAAATAGGTGTAAGTAAATGAAAACAAACTAAGCGAAAGAAGGAGTAGTGAAGGTGAACAAACCCCCCACTATTCCCTCAGAGGAGAAGGTGACAGGAGGTAACAGGGGCTTAACCCCAATTAAACTAAGAAAAAAGACAAAAACGAATAGAGAGGGAGGTCTGATCCCCTAAAGAGGGGGAGAGGACTACCCTGACCATTCAAAGAATACCTCCTAATGTAAAAAAGTCACGTTACGGGGTGAACATGTTAGCACAATGCTCATCTACCCTGATTGGCTTAAGGCCATACATGTCATCATGACGCTACATTTCCTCCTTTTGAAATTATGGCGACCACGTGAGCTTTAGGCCCACCTTTCCTGATTGGTCTCTTCTGAGAGTTGACGATCGGATGAACCCCGCCTCTTGAGGAATCCGATTGGAGGACGTCACCTTTGGGGAAGTGGTTACTACCCTTTATAAAGCAAAATCCAACCACTTAACAAGTTGCTCTTGATAAAGGCGTGCTTGAAAACGCCGAAACGCGCGTCGAGTTTAGATAGTTTTAGCGGACGCCAATCACTTTATTTAAGATTTTAGTTGTAGCTGATGCTATCTATGAGCTCTTAGACAGTCTTAGCCGACGCTTATTTCCTGAATTGAGTTTAGATAGCTTTTAGCCGACGCTAAGCACTTATACTTGAGATTTTGGTTGTAGCTGAAGCTATCCATCAGTTTTCTAGACAGTTTGTAGCCGACGCTACTTTACTGATTTTGAGTCTTCAGCTCTAGTAGACTTTAGCTTTATGTAATTTATTTTTCTAGCTTGGAGATGTCCCTGAGTGCAATATGCTGGCTCTTTTTAGCTAATAAGGGGGGATAGATATGCTGCCTTGAAGCAGCTGTTAGATGTATGGTAAAGGTTTAGTTGGAGCAGCATTATGAAGGGGTGTTTTAGGTGATCTATACGTATATCTAGAATTATATTTCTAGTTTATTCTCTTTCTCTAGGTCTTTGCCTCTCTGCACCCTTTATCCATTCATGCTGCCATTTTTCTATCTATCTTTATATATATACTTTTCCTATATTGTGCTCCCTCTATAACCACATAGGGACATTCAGTCCATTTCCTTCTCTTTTCTACTGCCATTGAATCATTTGGCATTATTTATATTGACTTATAGTTTTTATACGTATTTCAATAAAGGTTATATACCCTAATTTATGTGACTTTTTTTACATTAGGAGGTATTCTTTGAATGGTCAGGGTAGTCCTCTCCCCCTCTTTAGGGGATCAGACCTCCCTCTCTATTCGTTTTTGTCTTTTTTCGTAAAATGAAAACAACTAACATTAAAAAAAAAAAAACATATTAGCAAACCTAGTCCGCCATCTGTATACATTGCAATAGGTGGAAAGCTTGGTATGGTTTTAGTAGCTGCATGATGGAATGAGGAGATTTAGCTCCAGTCTGTTTTAATCCATCTGTACCTCACTCTACACCTGACCCTCCATGTCCTGTCTTTTCAGTCCGTATTCCAGTTTTATGACCCAGAACATAAAGGCTACGTGTCCACTGAAGACTTTGATAAGATCGTAGTCAGTCTACCGTTCTCCTGCCACATTCTGGAAAAGGAAAGGTATGTTTTCGGGTGGAAAGAAGCCCGATGATGATGGTAAAAGTGAGACAATTATGACATTGGATTGTCTTATTCACAGTGATGGGCCAATCAGTCGCCAAGAGATGACATCTTACTTCATGAAAGCCAGTCATGTCTGCTCCAAGTTGGGTGTCCGTTTCCTGCAGAGTGTGGTGGAGGCGCGTCTGAAGAAATCTCCGCTGTGTGCCAATTGTGTAAGTACCAGCATCTACTTCTGTTATAACAGTGTGAAATACAGGGCTCTTTAGTAAATGTGGAGAGGGACAGACAACACTTGGTGGCAGAGGTCCACGAGCCAGAAATCTCCACATTTGGTCGATGTTATCCAAAATGATTTCTTCATCAAATTCCAGGTTGAGAGGGGTTACTTCATATAATTCTCATCACCAACTCCATAAGAGGAAATCTCCCTTGGAGGCAACTAGGGTCAGCCCATATGATAAGAGACAAGCATGTCCACGCTTTCTATACGTTACTATAACCCCTGACGTTCTGCCATGTACAAGGCTGACTTTGCCCTTAGAGCAAATACATCACAGTCACTCATTGGCTGCAGGTCATGAGAAAGTATGACCCGATAAGAGTTATAGGCAATTTCCATTGTACAGAGAGCTAACACCTTTCATCAAAACCATATGATAAAATACACTATACTATTTGGTCAAATGTATGAGGACAACCCAAGTACTTATTGAGTTCAGATGTTTCAGCCTCCCTCATTGCTAACAAGTGCATACATTCCTGTAGAGAGTCATGAAATCTCCATAATACAGTGGGTCCCACTAAAGAGCTCAGTGACTTTAAACGTGGCACTGTCACACGATCCAACATTTGTCAGGTCAATAAATTAAAATTCTTTTGGCTTAAGGATACACATAACAAAGACATTTGCTTCCAACTAAAGCCTTGATTTAATGTATTTGGATAAGCTTTTTCAATGATATTTTTAACATGTAAAAAAATATATCATAAATAAAAATAAATCAATCTACTACAAAATTAAAGTATTTTTCATAATATTAAATCGTTTTAAAGGTTTATTAAAAAGATTAAATCAAGGACTTCATGGTAACAGTTTGGGAAAAGGTCCTTTCCTGTTCCATCATGACTGTGTCCATGTACCCAAAGCAAGGACCATAAAGACATTGTTTGGTGGGTTTAGAGTGGAGGGACTCGAGTGGCCGGCACAGAGTCGGGACCCCTTTTGTCTACATTTTTCCATTCGGATTTAAGTTTGGTGTTTAGTGAAGAACACTGTCTGTGAACCTTTGGGACATATGTATAATATGATAATAAAAAATGCCACACTCACATCTGTTTAAACAGGACCTGAAACCTCATGGTGTCTTTGTAACTGTTTCAGATATCAGACATTATTTGTACTGAATTTGTCTCCCTCCCCGGTTTACTTTTCAGGTCTGGGCTGTGGCAAAGCAAGGTAATGGCTGTGGAGGTAATTAATGTATTGCACCCTGAGACATTTCAAACCAGTATATTATATTCACACCATTAGGACCCCATTAACATTACCCTGTAAATCTGTAGAAACCATGTGTACCCCTAACAACAAAAAAAGGGATACCCAGGCTTTTAAATGAATAATATAGATAATGCATTCAAAATAATTAAAGGACCACTATAGTGCCAGGAAAACATACTCGTTTTCCTGGCACTATAGTGCCCTGAGGGTGCCCCCACCCTCAGGGTCCCCCTCCCGCCCGGCTCTGGAAGGGGGAAAGGGGTTTAAACTTACCTTTTTCCAGCACTGGGCGGAGAGCTCTCTTCCTTCTCTCCCTCCCTGTTGAATGCGCACGCTGCAAGTGCTACTATACCGCTTCTGATAGAAAGCATTTACAATGCTCTATGGACGCTTGCGGCTCTCACTGTGAAAATCACAGTGAGAAGCACGCAGCGCCTAGTGGCTGTCAATGAGACAGCCACTAGAGGATTAGGGGGAAGGCTTAACCCATTGATAAACATAGCAGTTTCTCTGAAACTGCTATGTTTATAAAAAAATGGGTTAACCCTAGAAGGACCTGGCACCCAGACCACTTCATTAAGCTGAAGTGGTCTGGGTGCCTAGAATGGTCCTTTAACATAAAATGTAAAAATATGGTATTATGCGGACACTCCAGGCTCCCACACAGATTAGATGCACTGTGTAGGTTAGGTTACAGTTATACTGGGTGGGTTTATATTATTAAAGAGACACTCCAGGCTCCCACACAGATTAGATGCACTGTGTAGGTTAGGTTACAGTTATAATGGGTGGGTTTATATTATTAAAGGGACACTCCAGGCTCCCACACACGTTAGATGCACTGTGTAGGTTAGGTCAGTAGTGTATCCTGGTTTTGTGCTGCCCTTGGCAGGACAAAACTCAGGCGCCCCCCCACCCCACCTTCTAAATACACACACACAGTCAGACACACACACAGACAGACACACACACACACACACACACAGTCAGACACACAGTCAGACACAAACACACACACACACACACACAGTCAGACACAAACAAACACACACAGTCAGACACACAAACACACACAGTCAGACTCAGACACAAACACACACACATTCAGATACACACAGACACAGTCAGATACACACACACACACACACACACACACAGTCAGACACAAACACTCACATTAACAGTTTTTTTTTTTATCCCCCCCCCAGCCTCCTTACCTTTGGGAATGCTGGGGGCAGGGGGTTCTCTTTATCCCTGGGGTCCAGTGGCTGCCGGTCGGGCGGCACTAGCGAGGGAGCTCTTCCTCTGAGCACTCTGCTCAGCTCCCTCGCTCGCCGCAGAGTGAGGCTGGGAGCCGGAAGATGACGTCATCTTCCGGCTCCCAGCCTCACTCTGCGGCGCGCGAGGATGCTGAGCAGAGTGCTCAGAGGAAGAGCTCCCTCGCCAGCCGCCTGCCAGCGCCGCCCGCCCGCTCAGCATGTCTGTTAGCCGAGAGGCTAACTAGGCATTTGCCCTGGGCATTTGGGGGCGGCTTTTTTTGCCGCCCCCTGGAAAATGCTGCGTAAGGCAAATGCCTTGTTTGCCTCGCGGCTAATACGTCCCTGGGTTAGGTTACAGTTAGTTATACTGGGTGGGTTTATATCATTAAAAGGACACTCCAGGCTCTCACACACGTTAGGTGCACTGTGTAGGTTAGGTTACCGTTAGTTATACTGGGTGTGTTTATATTATCAAAGGGACATTCCAGGCTCCCACACACTTTAGGTGCACTGTGTAGGTGTGTAGTTTACGTTACAGTTATACTGGGTGGTCTAATATTTATTTAAGGACACTCCAGGCTCCCACACACGTTAGGTGCACTGTGTAGGTTAGGTTACAGTTAGTTATACTGGGTGGGTAGGTTAGGTTACAGTTAGTTATATTGGGTGGGTAGGTTAGGTTACAGTTAGTTATACTAGGTGAGTTTATATTATTAATAGAAATTAGGTCAGATTTTCCCTGCATGAGAATGTCATATGGTGTATTATAGGATTAGACCATGAGGTGATACAAAGTTGGGCCTTTGAACGTACAAATCCAGAAAAACACAATCTTGAAACCTGGAGTCCACACAGCAGAACCATGTGCCTCAAAGCAACACAGACTGAGGGACCCACAAAGGAACAGCCTGCTGCCCTTCATCACATGGCTACAGGAGACTCAGATCACAGAAAACTGTTATGCAGGGACCCCTGCTGGACATCACCAGAACTGCTGGCACAGATAAAGGAACTGCAGGAGGTAATAATGGAATAAAATAATAGCAAAACATTGAATCATACAGCATCTTATACATAACCACAGGGGGAAAAAAGATAAACAGCACATTCAAACTAGCCTTTACTGCTTCCATGTGAAGGCTATCCCAAGTATCTACTATCCTTTCTATATTGCGGTTACTGCTCCCACTGGAAGGCTATTCCAGGTATCTACTACCCTTTCTATATCACTGTTACTGCTCCCACTGGAAGGCTATTCCAGGTATCTACTACCCTTTCTATATCACTGTTACTGCTCCCACTGGAAGGCTATTCCAGGTATCTACTACCCTTTCTATATAACTGTTACTGCTCCCACTGGAAGGCTATTGCAGGTATCTACTACCCTTTCTATATAACTGTTACCGCTCCCACTGGACGGCTATTCCAGGTATCTACTACCCTTTCTATATCGCTGTTACTGCTCCCATTGGAAGGCTATTCCAGGTATCTACTACCCTTTCTATATCGCTGTTACTGCTCCCACTGGGAGGCTATCCCAGGTATCTACTACCCTTTCTATATCACTGTTACTGCTCCCACTGGAAGGCTATTCCAGGTATCTACTACCCTTTCTATATCACTGTTACTGCTCCCATTGGAAGGCTATTCCGGTATCTACTACCCTTTCTATATCACCGTTACTGCTCCCACTGGAAGGCTATTCCGGGTATCTACTACCCTTTCTATATCACCGTTACTGCTCCCACTGGAAGGCTATTCCAGGTATCTACTACCCTTTCTATATCACTGTTACTGCTCCCACTGGAAGGCTATTCCAGGTATCTACTTCCCTTTCTGTATCACTGTTACTGCTCCCACTGGAAGGCTATTCCAGGTATCTACTACCCTTTCTATATCACTGTTACTGCTCCCACTGGAGGGCTATTCCAGGTATCTCCTATCCTTTCTATATCACTGTTAGCATTTATTTTCACACTTTCTTAATTTTATCTCATTATACATAAAATTTTGTTTAACCAGGAACATGTGGATAATTCTGATTTGTCGCAGTTCTTGTATATCATGTGAAATACACCGTTCTTTTGTGTGGTTTCTTTTAGGAGCGTGACAGTCTGTTGCTAGAGAATGCTGGCTTGCATTGCTCCAACTCACAGATGTCTGCAGAGAACGCCAGACTGCAGAGTCAACTCTACAGTCTGCAGCAGGACTTGCGCAAACTCAGCCTGGACTCAGTGACACAAGCTGCCATTTTGCAAATCCTCCAATCTATCAACGCGCTACAGCTGCAGTGTGATGGCGAGTCTTGATAATTATAAAAGTTTTGCTACAGTAAATGTGGAGCAACATTTTAAAAGTGAAGCAGTTACCATGGAAAAAAAGTAGACTGTTCCCGTGGATTCCTTTGGTTTCCACAGCAACTGCCAAACTTTTAGAACATTGAATCAATGTTGTGAGAGTTAATAAACAGAACCCCTCAGCAAAAAGCAAGCTTGATGGATAAAGCACAAACATTATTTTAGGCTCTGATACTCCGGTGTTAATGATTGTAACAAGACATTTTCTCTTGGGTGAAATAATTCTTGCGGAGGAGGCTGATCGGAGTCATTAGATCCAAGTTAATGTGCCTGAAAATCCTAAACTCGCACTCACTGATACTTTACAAAGTACTATTAGGCCAGTGGATATAGTCGAAAAGTTACACCAGACGATATATTTATGGGACTGACGGACATCTTTCATGTTTGTAAATATCCTCTTCACATTGCTGGAGCTGCATGTTATCGTTTTAAAAAAAAAAAAAAGTCTCCAGGGGCTTTTCCACAGTTATTTTGTTTATTAAATAAACCTCTAATATCTATGATGTACAAAATAATGCTTTATGTAACAGAACGAGTCTCATGTTCTGTGGAATTGTGTAATGTAAGCAGATCTGTGGGTACAACCATCAGCTAAAGCAGAGATGAGTGAGAACAGGTAAATCCATTTGGATCTAAATACCTAGAATTGCTGAATACTCCGATTTCCAACTGGTCTTATCCATGTCCGTGAGTACATTTAAAGGAACACTAAAACGTTAGGAATACAAATATGTATTTCTAACGCTATAGAGCCCTAGTCACCGTTTAGATGACTAGGGCCCCGTTCCATGGCAAATAAATGGTTAATTAACCATTTATTTGCTTACCTTAATCCAGCGACAGCCTCCCTCAGCACTGGTGACTTCTCCTCCTCCATCAATGTCAGCTTCCGAGTGGAGCTGAATGTGCAGTCAGAGGTGTGCGCATATTTAAACCTGTCCATAGGAAAGCATTACTCAATATTTTCCTATGGGGATCTTTCCTACGGGAGGGGGGGGTCTCCAGCGTCAAATAAAGTGCGATTTACTCTGTGTAAATAGCAGAAGCGGCCCCTATTGGCTGTCAGGGAGAAAACTGCTATGTTTTCAGCTGCAGGGTTAAAACTGGGACCTGACACCCAGGCATCCTCCTTGAGCTGAAGTGGTCTGGGTGCCTATAGTGGTCCTTTAACGCAGGTTCCTCTCGCTGAGCATACAGTCCAGATTTATAGAAATTCTACATCAGCATTTCAAGTAATGGTGCAGTCTCGTTCGCCATTTGTGTCTGTATGGCCTGCATAAAGGCAACTAATTGGCTTTTACACAGGAGAACAAAAAAGTCCAAACCGTGACTTTTAATTCTTATTGTATGTTTCCTAACAGTGCAAACATCAGAGATCGGACCGAGGGAATTCCCAGCTCACAGTCTTACCAGGATGTTTAGCCATTAAAATATGAAATAGTAGCAAAGTGAAAATCGAATTATGAAGGTTAGGTAAAAATATCCCAGCTGTGTCTCAGACTAGCTATACCTGCCAGTTTATTTATTGCAGTGCTTAGTAACAACAAAAAGGTGTAATTTCTAAAACTTGTGAAACTGCGCAAAACTGGAAGTTTTCAGAGCAGAATGATGCCGACACAGACTCTTCCTGGTTCACTGATCCACTTTACCTGGTCCCACATTCCTGTTTGCAGAAAATGTCCCATAAGCCTCCCGAACAATAAGAAGTAGAGAAGGTGCCACACAGAACATTTTATTTATGTCATTTTATTCAGCAGATTTTAACTTTTATAAATATACAAAATATATTAAAGCATTTCAATCTGCCAACTGTAAGGTATGAAATTTGCTTTTGGATCAGCACTAATTTATCCACATTATCAAATAAACCATTAATCAAAGCTGACAATATGTAAACAGACCTTCCACCCATCAGATTCAGTACAAAGCTCGGAGGTGCCGAGGCATGTTCTCGTAAAGCACGACTGAATATACCAGAATTGCTAAAGAGGTTTACTTTATTTACCCCACAATGTTAGAACAGAAACCATTTATTCCTGCAACAAATGTTCAAAAGCATCTAAGAGTAAAAACGTCATATCTATATGCAACTAAATAAACATTTTTATTTTCCATTTCACCAAATGATGGATACAATGTGCCAGCATGTTCAGCGTTAACGTAATTGAAACTGATAAAAACTGCCAAGTTTGGGTAGAATTTTTGTTAACAGATCCCTACATTTTGTCTGTGAGACTTAACAAAAGCAGTGCATCACAAACACAACAGCCTCAAAAAAAGAAAAAAAAAATTATATTAGATGATCAAACTATAATTAGATGCACATTAAAACATAATTTATTTATTTTTTCAGAACTAGACTGGAAAGTAAGAAAAAGAAAGGTATCTTGTTAGCATGAATTGCCCTCAGCAAGAAAATGCAGGAATGAGAATCCTGCATTAAAGAAAATAGAATAAAAAAAAAAAATAAAAAAAAATCAGAGGGTATATGTCTTTATGCACGCACATACATACATCTTTAGATTACATTAATTCAACCAACGAAACTTTGAACATCTCATCTCTTCCGCTTCTTATTACTTTTTCCCCAATTACGCTGCCCACCTCCCCCCTCTCTTCTCTTCTCCCAAATTGGCATTGGAGGTTCGATCTCATTGGGGCGCCCTCCTCGGTCAGGGACATTACCTACCATGAGAACCTGCAAGTGGAAATAGAACAAACAAGATTTAAGAACGTGCACTATATGATATTAGAGAACATGTATGAGAAAGCCAGACTGGGAGGAACACAGGGAACGTACCTTGTGGATGGTGCTGCGGGTGTTTTGGCAGAAGGTAGCATTGCAGGTCTGAACAATCTGAGAGTCTTTTTCCCGTGCTGCCAGGAGGTGGGACAAGGTGATAAAGGACTCTGTATGCAAAGATTTGCGCAGTGGCCCCAAAACATCCTGCATCGCCCTCCCCTTTTCCTGTATGCAGAGCAGTTTGGGTGACTACACAGCACAAAATTTCCAAACTCTATTTACCTTGCTGGGTGACATAAGTATTCATAAAATGGGCACTTTCGAAGGGAAATGACACTAAATAAAATACTGTTTTATATTTATACACAGACACCAAACATCTTTTACTGTTCTAGAATAAACGACGTTGCATAATAAGATCATCAGGTCTTCATACATTAGTAACATTAGTAATTTCCCATAACAAAATATCAAATTGATACAGGATATACAAGAAGGAAAACACACCATGTAAACCATATAATGCACTCGGGACCCTTACTGAGCTTGCGTAAACCGCCCAATGCAGAGAACACTTTGTTAGCAGGGAGACTTGTAGGCACATCTTTGGGCACATAGGCCACAAATAGACAGCTTAAGTACAAATACTGTTAGGCTAAGTAAAGTGATTAATGCACAAGCTCTACAGGTGAAGGCTCAAATTCCAGCACATCCACTGAAGAGTCCCTCTATGTGAGAATGGTTAAATAAGTCTGATCTGTTGGGTAATCCTGATATTATAGGACTTACTGCACCAAACATTGATGCTCTCATACGAGCGAAACGCAGATACACAGGACTACATTATCACAATGACATTGCTACCTTATGTATATTTTGATCCATAAACTTTGTTGAACGAGTGTCTTTTTTGTATATATATATATATATATATATATATATATATATATATATATATATATATATATATATATATATATATATATATATATATATATGTGTATATATGTAAAAACGAGAATTCCACCTCACCTACTATTGTTTATGTGAATTTTTTAATCATTTAGATCTGCTTTGGACACTACTAAATCATTAGTATACAGCATCACTCACTGATTAGTGCCTAGAACACACCAGAAAGGGAAGGATAGCGATATATTCGAACCTTAGCTCTCTCCGACCAGTGGAAGGATTGCACTGTGACATCAAATCGCGTGAATAGCATCCGCATCCGACACTCATACTCCGTGAGTAAGGAACGGTGTAACTCTATCAGCTTACCCTGTGATTTAACAGATCAGCATTAATTTATAACCAATAGAATGCACGATAAAATGTACTCATTCTCTGAACATCATCTTCACCAGCAGATTTCTGTTACAGGCACAATAAAGCTTCATCTCAACTAAATGTATCATCATATCCAGATTATAGCCAAGCTCACTACACAGAGCAAGAAAGCGTTATCATCTGGTCACTGGGACGGATTGGTGTAAAACTGCTGGAACATTCATCGAGTTTTAAACTAGTTTTAATGGGGAGGAAATATTTAAAGGCAGACGGGCTACTTCTTTGGAGAGCGTGTCTTCCTTCAACACTGGGTGCTGAGATGTGGAAGACTACATTAATGCTGGTATCCAGGGGAAAAGTCCTCACAGTGACCTGGCAACGCCCAAGTCATAATGCAGGTGAAGCTACTGTGACAACAGCTACGGGAGGGGAGCGAATCCAGGGATAAGCCAGTGGACTTTGATACATGGAATCAGCTACACGTCGATTCTATGAGATGTCAGATGGAGCATAATCATGGAAAATCCCAAATAGCCAGTGCAGCTGTAAATGGA